GGGGGGGTACACATCGCTTACCGTTTTCAGCATCACTCTCCTTCAATTCGTCGTCCGACTCCCCCTTGGAGTCCTGCATTTCCTCATGCTGGTCGCGGTCCTTGGCCGACCCGGAATCCACGCCGTCCTGAGTCGCGCCCGGCGCGGCAGCGGCAGCCGACGCGTCGGATTTGCGAGGCCGACCGCGAGGCCGGCCGGTGCCCGTCTTCTTCGGCGTCGTCTGGGTCGTGGTGGTGGTGGTTCCCGAGGGATCGACCTTGCGGGGGCGGCCACGCGGGCGGCCGGTCCCTGTGGGCTTCGCGATGGTCTTGGTCACGCCGGCGTCGGTTTTGGGTTTGTTTGTGCTGCCCTTGGGCCGACCGCGTCCGCGTCCAGATGGGGTGGCCGGTTTGACTGGTGTCTTCCTCTCGGATTCGGGCTTGCGTGGCCTGCCTCGACCGCGCTTGATGGGTGCTTCTTCCGTGCTGGGTGCCATGTTTTTCGGGTATTTTGGGGGGGGGGGAGGTGAAGGGGGAAAACCGATGGGCGACACAACGATAAAAAAAAAAAAAGAGGCAGTCTGGAACGGATTTCCTGGAGACGAACGACTAGAAAAGTGCGCAATTCCGATGCGATCGAGAAATGGCGGTAGGAATGCGTAGGTTCGCCTTTGTGATATTCTCTCTTTTTTTGTTGCTTTTTTTTGTTGCTTTTTGGGGGGGTGGCTGATTTTTTCTCTTTTTTTTTTTTTTTTTCCTTTTTAGACCTAGTCTCGTAACATCTGTCGCGTCACTTTGGGAAGGTGACTCCGTACGAAGTACTTTTGGTAGGTGGGCGGGTATCAACGCAACACTTGGACCAGTACCTCTAGATATATTATATGCAGTCCTACTACCCATTCATCTGACATGAGATACTTGAAGCGCCAAGTAACCTTTTTGGCCTTTTTGGGTTCGTTGTTGCTTTATTTAGGATTTATTGTTGCCAAGAACCCATCAAATCATTCATCTGATAGCAGCGGTTTCATCTTGACCAAGCAAGTCGTACTCGTCGTACTGAGTAATTAATAGGTACTCAGAGAGCAACCAACACCGGGATACCGTTATAGGACCAAGTCTCTAATCGTCCAAGTGGAATTTTGGGAGTTTTCCTCCCATGTGTGTCGTTTCGACGTGAATACGGAGACCTGGTAGAGCATCCAACAACGATGTGCAAAATCATAGATGATGGTTATATCCCGGATACGAGATGTTTATCGACTTTGGCCTCCGTGATGAATGGATCGAAGCCTATCCCCGTGGAGGCCAAATCGTCTGCGAGATGTACTGTGATTCAATTCGCACTGCAGGCCAAAAGTCAACGCCAGTGAAGCGAGGGAGCTAGACCAGACGCAAGGTAGCCATGGGGTCCGACGCCGCATTCGGTAGTGTACACATATTCTCTATCGCTGCCGACCTAGGTGTTATACAACCCGCACAATAGTTTTCATATCCCGTATCCTATCCCACCGACCCGTCCCTATCCAGCGACACCGGTAATACCACCGAAAATGTGGGCGCATGTCGACATGTGGCAATGCGTAGTGTATCCATTCATGTCGTACACATGCCCAGTGATGTGTGCGAAAAGGTAGGAAAAGCCCAGCCCCTTGGTTCGTAGTCAATTCGACTCCGCGCTCTAGGCCTTGCTCTTGCCGCTCGCGCCACTCTTGAAGCGCTTAGCAACAGGTCGGTTGATATGGTGTTCGGGGATCCAGCTCTCGTCGTAAGCCTTGCCGGAACCGGTGGCGACCGCATCCGCCTCGACCACGGGGGCTACAACGACCTGCTTGGCCTTCTTTCCGCCCTTGCTGCGCTTGACCTGGGGGAAGAGCGCCTCAAGCCAGGTCTTATAGACGAAGTAAAGGGTGCCGGCGAAGAAGGCGGAGAGGAACAAGTAGAGGAAGATGCTACAGTGGTCTGGTTAGTGACTCGGGTTTCTTTTCTTTTCTTCTCGAATTGGCAACATTGTATGGCTCCCAGCGCCGGACAATTTCCCCAGTGATTCTTTTTGGGGAGGAGCTCACATTTGAGGGTCAAAGATGCTGATCGGGGCCTCAACGATGGCGGCCGTGCCGTCATAAGCCTGCACCTGGAAGACGTCGCCAGCCGAGTTGTAGACGACAGCAACCAACTGGATCCGGACGTCCTGGGGCTGCATGTCTTGCACAAAGGAATAAGGGACGGCCTTCTTCTCGCCCGGCTCCACGGACAGAGCGTAGCGAACTGCCGTGAGGTTGCGGACAATGGCATCAGTACCCAGGGCACCAGCAGGCAGCTCCCCAAGCTTGGACAAGGTGCCAGTCAGGAGGGCAACCTGGATCGGCGTCTCCTCGTGATTCGCGAACTCGACGAGAGCCTTGGTGGGGCGGCCGTTTACGAGCTTTACGCCGAAGATGTCGGCCTCGGGGAAAGTGGTCTCAATGTCCGCGGCCAGCATGGCCGCGTTGACTGGCGTGGTGTCTTGATCGGCCTGTGAAAACAACCACCTGGGTCAGTCGAGGGCTTCTTTTCTAACGATGAATATGCTCTGAAAGTCGTACCGCGCCTTCTTGGGCCATGGCGCCCATGACGGGCAAAGCAAGGAGGCCCAGGAGGACCGGCTTGAGCTGGATCATCATGATGGACAAAGAGCACGGCAAACCGGGAGGAAGAGCTTGTCAAGAGGGTATAAAGAAAGAGACACAGGAATCGACAAGATCCTTCTCAATTGGCTCGCCACTGGAGAACTTCCGTGTGTTGGGAGTGCGGAATGCTTGATAGTACCCTCCCTTATTATGGATGCCTCAAGGGAAAATTAGTGTTGTTGGCTGGACGAGACCTGTGCAATGTGGCCTTTGATGGCGTCCACTCCTTCGAAGTGGGCTGCGCCACATTTGCGGCAGGGTGAACGGGCAATTATGTGGCTTGTAACAACGATGACGTCCCCACTCGCGACCTACAGACTACTTACTCCGGAGGCAACCTCTTCATCGCCAGTATGAACAATTCAAATGGGCGATAAATTACCCTATATCGCATGTGGTATAGGCTACAAATGGTGGTGTTTAGTATCCTCTCTTAGACAATGCAGATATCTCATTTCCAAAGCAGGCCATGGCCCGGTCAATCAATAGGCAGTATACCCACGCTTCCTGCCAGGAGGTCCATCACCAGGACTCTCGGGTGGGAGAAACAACGGCATATCGAAGTCTACTGTGCAGCAGCTTCGCCGATTCGAGTGCAAAGTGTGCATCGGACAGATAACCCGAGGCCAAGTAAGTAACATATCAGGACAGAGGAAGCTCTAAACATCAAAGCGCGATCACAGGTCATAAACATACCATGCATACTAAGTCCACAGAGTTAGTGCTTGGAGTATCACACTTCACACCCTACTCGTCAACGTGCCAGGAATCATTAATAGCATGATAAATGTATCCTCTCCTGTACCAGCGAGCTACCTCATACCATGATCCTAATAACTGCCACCACTTGACCCATGTCAACTTGTCTTGTCACATACATAAGCAAACCAAGGCAGCCTCCGAAAACAAATATTAAAAGGCATACAGTGCCACCCCCTTTTCTCGTCTCGCCATGGCAGCTTACCGCCGCCTTACCCAGGCCTTCGCGGCGCCAGCCACCCTTTTTTTGTCATTCGTGTACTTCGCGGTGCACCAGTCCGCATTCCGTACGCCCCAATACCGTTACCGTCTATACCTCGACGAAGACCGAGCCCCGTAACGCCGGAACTCGCTGGCAAAAAAGTAAACAGCCAGAACCGAAGAAGCGAACTCCAACAAGAAATTAGAAAATAAAAAGAAGAAGAAAAAAACCGCCCCCCCTAAAGCTAGGAAAAAGAAAAGGGAGACGTAGAAAAAGCAGTCGTGTCTCGTGAAGTCGTCCAGTGTTGGTGAGAATGGGATCACTAGACAGGATAATGTGACACATATAGGCAAGGAAGGTCACGGAGCCATGGGTAGGATAGGTTCCCGGTGATAATGGATCTCGACCACGAGATTCGAGGACGAGATGCGCAAGGGAAACCAGCAACCACAGCGGATCCAGCAGAGTGGGTACCGAGGGGGTGGAAAAGTCCGGGGAAAATATGACTGGACTGCCGCATGGGACTAGACGATTTCATGCAGCGGATACCAGTCCAGGGACAAGGCCAGCAGTCGCCCTTGGTTGCGACCACAAGAATGGCCGTGGCCATTTGTTGTCGTCCAGGGAATTATCATAATCGGAATGCGACGGCCTCAGCATCAACAAACGCTGGCAGATTGCTGGACAGCGCTGTAATAGTCGCGGTCCAAGCCGGCCAGGTCAAAGAGGGAGGGACGAGGTCCCGCAGACTGTCGCCGAGGCAAGGTAAAGCCCTTCCGGAGTTCCTCTTGGACATATTCAGCGGCGCGCTTATATCGATTGTCGAGGTATTTGTCCAAGACAGCCGAGTGATGCTTCCGAGGATCGTGACAGCATTCGAGAAGCATCTGGACTAGCGTTCTTAGCTGGGACCATGTATATCCGGAGTAATGAACATGGCCTTGTGACTGCGACGGTTTGTTAGTCTAAAGACGACATTAGAGTCGAGGGAAAATTGAGATGCTTACCCAATCGCCTTTCCTCATGATCAGGCGGGACAGGCAGTGCGCGCCAGCTGCCAAGTAGCTGGGAGGACTGGCCACGAAGCGTTCGTCCATGATAGTGACCTCGAGAAAGTATTTGGCCAAGGTGCGGGTCTCCAAGTCATAGTCGTCCGCCTTGCTGATACGTCGAAGAAAGCTCATGGGGCCAGGCCAGCCGAGTTCGAAGTTGAGCATACTAAGCATAAATCGCTCGGCCTTTAGTATCTCCTCGACAGCGTATGTGCCATCCACCATGAACACGACCTCTTCGAGTGAAGGGCAGTTGATCTCTTCGTATTTGGAAGCGATCAGAAGAGCGGTAGCGCCGACCAGTTGAAGTTTGCCGATAGACACAGTCTTGTACGAGAGGAAACGGTCGATGTAGTTGACCGTCAGGTACAGCGTCTCAGGCAAGAGACTAAACCGGCTGTGGACTTGGATAAGCCAGTCCATCAAGACCGATCGCATGGACCACTGGATCTCAGCTTGGTTATCCATGTAATGGGGGTCAGGGAGCATCTTCATCTGTTGCCAGATATTAGTACGTCATCTTAGCATAGTACTGGTTTGGGGCCATGAACACTCACCTCTAGCTCGCGCAAGTACCCGAAGATATCGTCCCCGTACTCAGCCACCATGGACACGTCCCAAGCCTCGTCCTCAACATCCTCAATGGTCTGGTGACCTTCAACGTATGCTCGGGCGGCATCGAGTTCCTTTTGGACGTTGTCGGTTACTCTGGGAGCTAGGATCGTGGTAACACCCCCAGTAGTCAACTCCCCGCGGGATCGATACGAGTGAGCCGTTGAGTACCCTTGGTCGTCACACAGGTCCTCCTCTTCCTCCAACTCATCCCAGCACTCCTCATATGACGTTGCCGCAACCCCGGTTGACTGCTCGGGGAAGGATGCGGCGAGCTTCGGCTGGGTAAGATCGCCCGGGACAGACATGGGCGCAGAGGATATCCCAGGAGGACCTTCCTTATTTTGCCCGGTTTGCTCAACTGCGTCCGCGTTGCGGTTTTCGGGTTTGTGGTTTTCGGTGATAGGAGCTTGGCACTGTTCGTCAAGGAAATCTTCCAGAGCGTCTTCATACGCAGCTTCCGTCACGTCGTCAAAGTGCTTGTCGTCCTCCTGCTCGCGCGATTCGGCGGTCTGGCTAATTACCAATCGGCTTTGGGTACGCCGCAGGTCACGGGCCAGGGACTGCTTAAGTTGTGGCTGAGACTTGTGCTGACGAGGTTGAAGAGTGGAAGGAGCAATAAGATCAATGATGCTCTTGCGGTTTTCATCCGAGGCGGAAGGCTGAATCAGGTGATCGCGATCGCGAGCTCTGATCTGAGACATGCTTTCCTCGATATCCTCCTCGCTAAGTAGCGTACAGGAGGTCGGATAAGAGGAGTTCGTCACGAGAGGGAGAGGGGCCAGTGACGTGCGCGCAGGTAGAGATTCGGCAGTGTTGGGTCGGGAGGAGGACTTGGTGCGAGACCTGTCATCTGCAAAGTACTTTGACCCTGCCTGTTCATCATTACGAACAGCAAGTTTGTTCTGAGCAGGAGCGGGATGTTGTTTCTTGCTCGTGGGAGGCAGAGCATTGCGCTGGGCAGGCTTCGCAAACCCATACGAAGGGTCTGGAATGTTTTCCTTGTGAGAGACATCGTATACTTTGCCCTTGCTCAAGGCCACGCCGCCCTGGCCCGGCGCCAATTTTTTTACCACGTTGCTCACGTCTCCAAAAGCGGTTCGCTTCGCCGTAACTTGGAGACCGGTGGTTCGGGAGGCGGCCAGGAGGTGACCTGTTGACTTGTGCCGGTGATGCAAATCGTTCTTTGAGTGCGGCATGTTCTCGTTACCGCCGACGGGGAAGGCGCCGCGGGGTCTCTGAGGCTGCGTGGAGAATGAAATAGATTAGTCGGGAGCGAAAGGATTTTCAAGAATCACAAAAGCAATTGATAGATGTTTCGGCGAATTGTACGGTGAGATGTTTGTGAAGAGAGTAAGAGGGAGTAGAAAACCAAGGAATAGGAAATTAGATATCAATTTACTAAAAAGAAAAGAAAAAAAAGGCCACATACCCTGGCGTCCATGACTATTGTAATTTAACCTTAAAATATTTTGAGCTGCTCCGATGTTGGTGGATAGATACTCGGGCACGACGGAGGTAGTAAGGTATTGTTGGTCTGACGAAGAATGTATTCGGTGTTGGTATGTTCAGTGACAATTATGGCTTCCAAACCCATATAAGGTAAGGTAACCAACAGTCACCTCGTGAGTTGCGGCAATGTCATCCACGGGCCGTGACTCGGACCCTTGACTGCAAGGAGAACTTGTTCCCCTAGGAGATGTCGTCCGAGAAGACGGCGATCAGCAGGCGAACCGATGTTCTTGTTTAGAGATTGACACCGAAAGAGGAGAAGATGGAAAGTAAGAGAAAGGGCCGTCTGAGTTGCGAGGCCTAGGAACTGCTTGAGCAGATGGATATGGTATTTTGTCGAGGAAAGGGGAAGTAAGCACTTGGGCTATTTTGGCTCGCGGCCTTTGCTCCCTGCTCGCGTTAGGTCGATGGCAGTCAGTGAAATTTGAGTAAGAAGGAAGAGGAAAGGAAGAAGAAAAGATGAGAAGAGAATTTCCACGAGTGCCCCCTCCCTTTCGTAGGAATGTGTTCGAGTTGCGGCGTTCGTGGCTTTTGAAGGCGTGGGAAGGCTTCTGATAACAGAGGGCTTCTCGATTTTGTTTATTTACTGGTACCCGCACCTACTACGGAGTACATAATTAGCGGTTTCCCCTTGAGTCCTGGCAGGGGCGCGTCAACAGGAACGGACGGACCAGTCGCGCGACCGCATACTTTGACCCGACAGGGATTGGTCTGTGCTGTGGATCTCGTACCCGTTGTCCGGGGCAATCTCATGTGTGTTATGTCAGGTACCTAACTCATGATTACAAGCCGTCATTTAAGTTGCGATAACCTTTCCTTGCTACCTTCTCATGTCATCATACGAAGGACTGTATATACGACGAAGTAATTACTTCGTATTCACTCCCAACCAAGACCATCGACTGAACGATTTGTCATGCGACATAACGGGTTAGGTTATTCAAAACAGCCGAGTTTGACCTATCCTTCTCCGGTATATCGCATAGTACCAAACGATCCACTCCTTTCGAAGGGCCTGACAGTACGGATATATTACCATTAAGGTAAGGTAGTTTTGCGAATTGATCTACCTTCACCAATAAATAGGCAGTAGCAAGAGAAGAGCCTTTATGCCGGGCAGCGATACCCGGAGGTCCTCAATCGAATATCGCACCGTGTATTGAATTCTGTCAGACCCTAAATTATCCTCACACTTCTCCATCCGCCTACTAGGATAGGTGGTGTAGTTAGGTTGGTTGTACTTCGGAAGAAAATGTATATCAGCCCGCCGCCTACTCATTCATTACTTTTACCCCCCGTAGCTACTACGATCAATTGCAGGTCTGATCAAGGAGACGATACATTCCTGGGCAAGTGTGAGCCAGGAGAGGCACAAAAGCAAGTGAATGTAACAGAACACCATCGAAGAAGGATAGAAAACACGAAGCGAACATGGAGAGAGACGGAGCAAGAAAATAAGGTCGAAGCAAAAAAAGACGAGATGAAACAAGATGAAAGAAATACTATCTATCATCCATGCAAAGGCACTATGAACGACAAGGAAAAGCAAAAGATGAAAAAAAGTAACTCTCCGACGGGGAATTGAACCCCGGTCTCCAGCGATCTGTAAGGAAGGATTCCTTGACAAGCTGGCATACTAGCCACTATACGATCGGAGATGGATACTCCGATTCTCGGATGAATTTCGGCACTAGATTTTGTAATTATATACCAATGCTCGGTTTAGCCTCACAGTAGAGACAGGCAAGCGAGCATCGGCTCGCCTGAAGTCGCCAAGTTAGGCGCGTTGAATCCAGACACGTAATATATGTTGGGACCATCTACTTGAGAATGCCGTCTGAGGACCCAGGACATGCGCCCGTAGCGCCTGCCGTGCGCATGATCTAACGGATCTCTTGTTTTCGTACTGGGTGACTTTGGGTTGCACCTAAAGGTCAGTCATGAAGTGGGTCGGTCCCGAGCCACACTAGGACCAAAACGGAAGTCAGTTTATATGTCGCGTCATCCGAAAACACATTCAGATGCTTGCAAGGATCGCAAACCAGAAATGTTACTGAATAGGAATAATTCCGGGTTTATAAATGTTGTTCTATATATAAGGGGATAATGGCTGCCTTTTTGAAGGATAAAAAAGTCGTTATTGTTGGATATTTAGGCGCCTTTTTGTCTGATCTGAATGTGTCATTGAACCGTGCTGGTGTCTCGGGGCTACGGATGCGAAGCTAACGCGAAAACACGTGACTAGTTTCCCATCAAAAACTGGTTCCACTTCCGTCATCTGCCGGAGCACAAGTACCTTAGCCATTTCAGCTACATCGTTAGGGAACGCCATGCGCCATGTTTCCGCCACTTGAATTGAAGTCGCTTGTGTTGGGGAAGAAGAAATTCTTCGGGGGCCGTCAGGTAATTACACGTGCTGTACACACCGCCTGACGATCGTGTGGCCATGAGGCGCGGTAAGAATCAGGATCCCGGCACAACTGGCCCGTCAAATAGTCCCGCCACACTTCTTTGAAGCAACTAGCACGGTAGTCCTGTTTGTTTTGATAGCCACACCTAGTTGGTGGCATTGGCAGGCATGGTTGCATCCGTATGGCCTTCCCCTCCCGCTCTCACCTATCTGAGTGCATAGCATCAATCGAATTGCGAGTGCTCTCCCATCTCTTTAACAGGTGTTCCGCGACGTGAGTTGTGTGTCAGCCCATCTCCTCAGGTATGTATTGTCTGCAGGAACGACATGTGCCCACTTCACTTCCATCTTCGTTTCGAGTTGGTACCATGCTGCAACGTCTGTTGGGTCACCTGGATGAGAAAGAAGAGCTAGTTGAGGGGGCGATTGTCCGCCTCTTAACCTCGTCCAACTCGCCCCAGGAATTGACGAGGCCTGAAATATGAAGGTAAGATTGTCGCTGGTCTTTTTATCAGACGTCACATAGTGAAATTGAGCTGGTTGGCAAGCCTACCTAGGGCATGGGTGGCCCCTTAACCGACACTGTCTTGCACTGGGTACTTTGCGGACCCTGACACCAAACCGTCCGCCGTTCGTTCGGTCGCAGAAAAAGAGTGGAGAACCTAACTGGTCAAGTTGGGTACCCAGGCCTCACTTCAATTCGAAAATATCGCTCGCGAGATCACAGAGGACGATAGTAATAGGGCATAGGTTCTGAACTTGGTCAATAATGAACAAAGTATGGTATTTCTGGTGTAGATATGTCTGTTTCCAGTCTCCATCGGAATTAATGGCGCAGAAATTCACATGAGACTTGAATGCGCAGTGCGGTGTAGTCGAGCGCCGATCATCCCGGGCCATATAGATAGGTATTACTACTAGTAATTGGTAGCACAAGCTGAATTCATCGTGCGCAAAGTGCGGGTTGCTACGGATTGAAACGCAAAGGAACTCTGGCCGGGCGGCAAAGCGATGCGAATGCGATGCGCCGACCCAAGCCTTTGATGTGGGAACGCCACGTCGCAAAACGAGTCTGCGCAACATTGCGCTTGGTGTGTCGAGATGCCAAGACGACCATTGCCACTCGTGCGCTTTCCAGACTGGGACAGACTTCCAAAGGCACTTTCGGGGTCGCTGAGAGTTATTTTTCTCGATCGCACAGAAAGTATGTTCTTCTTTCTTCTCCTCACCCTACGTGTGTTGAATAACATTTTGTTCCACCAGTGCGCATATAGCCGACATACTATGATCAGCGCATCCAGCTGTTCGCGGCATCCGACAAAGGGAAGCGGCGCGATTTAGCGGCTGACGCCAGGGCCGTTCTCAAGAGCAATATTCCGCTTGCGACATAAATAGGAAAGAAACTTTTCTGTTCCCTTGCCGTTTTATGCGAAGTGAAACAACTGGCACAGCACTTAATAGACCACAATCGCATTGCGAACAAGCTTATGGGGGAGTAAAGGTGTCGCAGCCGCCACCTTTGTCGAAACCAGGCCGCGCGCTAAATTAACAACTCGCCCCTATCGATCTTGAAACAGATAGCTGGCTGGTAAATACTCAGTTGATCAGATAGTCGCGGATTTTGTGCTGTACAGGCGGCCCGTCAGTAACCATCATATGGAAACTCGCCATAGCCAGCCAATACAACGCAAGTTCCCGGGAGAAGGGAAGTTCAAGATGATCGCTTCCATGGGAAGCAAGCTCGGACAAGACCGGCAAGTCTGAACACCTCCCAAAGATCCCTCGCGGAAGCGCTTTTTTTTTTGGACTACTATCTGGAAAGAGAATACTCGTGCCGACTAGGGCATTCCTTGACCGATAAGCCATTATATGTCCCCCCAGCCCGAGTCTATTCGAGACGCTTTGCGCAGACGCCCTTCGTTATTAGGAGCTGAGGGAAGGGTCATCGGAGATAAGACCTGGGCGTCAGATCACTTTTGTCAATTCACTCCTGCACTCGGGTCTTCGGCATCCGCTGGGCCTAGGAGTATTCTGTCGAGATTGGCTGATTAGTCCGTCCCGATATGGTACGAATCAGAGAAACAACCGTCGCTATTCATACAAAATTAAAATACCAAGGGAGAGGATGCCCAAATTGGACGAGATCATTGCTTTCAGGGGCATGTAACTACTAAAGCCGTGGTAATAAAGGGTGTCTGAATGAAGGACCTTCGTCCTACGAGAAGCGAACCATGATAACCAAGTACTTGTTCAGACACCATCGTTATCGGAACTATCGGCGTAAGTACCCTAAAGTCACTTAAAGAGGATGTCTAGAGAAATGGTTCGCTGGCCTCGGACAGAAACTGATACAGTAGTATTCTGCGAGCGGTGTTCTGCCGCCTTGGCTAGGGGAGACTGGTAGGGGAGGTCGGCGCGGGCAAAGAAGACGAGCCAAACGAGGGTAATGGGCGGAGAGCTAGTCGCACGATGACTACCTTATTAGTGTTCCGTCACCCTGTGACCATCAAGTGTGGACGGGGGTGCGATAGACGAAAAGCCGCCGATAGTACTCCGTACTCAGTGCGGACACAGCTGACATGGATGTCATGGCAAAAGGCCGCATCTAGGGTCACGTCTAAGTATGATGACTGGCTGGATGGCTAGGGCAGGACTGGTGCTCAAAAAGTCACAGATTGTTTATTAGCCACTTGGTTTGTTTTTATGGTGGGTTAATACTGGATGGTCTGGTCTGGTCCGCATGCCGCCTTTGTATTAGAATCCCCTGCTGAATTCCCCACGAGTCGAGCGCATTTGGACGTTTTCGTGAGCATCTGTGTGACATTCGACTTCGGCTGAGAGAGGTAACACGTACATACGCCCATGCCCATTGCGAACCTTTCCCGAGGTTGGCCAGTTGACTCCTTGTACGGCGCATAAGGTAGGTAGGATAAGGAGAGATCAAACTCATGTCAATAAGAAATGAATCATGTCGATACGTTAGATCTGGCTGGCGTATCCAAATCTCCCGCGAGAATCCACATATCCCAACCGTTCCCTGTCTAATTATGACTTGGCTGGAAACGAATGCCCTTGAATGTGTAATTATATATATCATGAAATGTAGGCAAACGAGCGAGTAAGGTCGTATCTATGGGGAGCAGGGACCCATTGGCGGGTTGAGCTCTCGGACGGAATGATGAAGATTCTCTGATAGGCTTGGGGCCAAGGAACGTGAAGAGAGTTGTGCTAAGGCAGTTTCCCTTGCCAGACCTAGTACGTAAGTTGCAACTTGAGCTACCTTACCTTATGTATTTGCGATCCTACCTGCGCACATCATCGCACACGAAGGGATCGAACATAATCAAGAAAAAAACGGGGTACGAGGTACATTCCGAGACCACCCCCCCAATTCAAGGCAGGGAAGGTTGTTGCAAACAAGCATATCCGAATCCCCCGTTTCATCTACATGAGGTTCATCACAGCAGCCAGTGGTCAGAAGATAGCTATTCGTATTTTACAACTTGGGCCTTGGGTCTTGAGACCACGACCAGCGACCAGCGCATCGCATTGGGAGGGGAAGGGGGAAGAAGAAGTAGTTCATTTGTTGTGTTGTGCGACTAGTCCAACCAGGAAAGTCACCTGCCCACTTTTCATCCCGTCCCCCAAGACCTCGCACTGTGCTGCCAGTCCCGACAAGGGCTGCTATTGGACTTGCCAGTCCCTGTTCACCGCTGTCGGACAGCGCATGTCAGGCACTGCCACTGTCGGTTTGGACTGCCAGAGAGCACCTGCGACAGTGTATGACTGCGCTAGAGAGTGCTGAAAGCCCGCTGGAGTCTGGAACTCGGACTGGAAGCGCAGACCGCAGTACCGTAGACAAAATCGAACCTCGCCAGACTCCTCTTTTTTCCCTCCTCAAGCACACACCCTTCGACTTCGTAACCTCAAAACCAACCTTTGGAGTTCCGTGGTTTCCTGCTGGTGAGTTCCCCCTTTGCCCATGGTGCATGCGATCAAAGATACTGCCCCTTTTCATCCCCCTCCATCCTATTTCTCCAGTCACCATACCCGGGACGCTTCTCTCCTTAACGGGAGGACGTTCAGGCCCTACGTCCGTTCCCGAACACTGGCGGGTGACGACTGATTCCTTCCCCCTTCTCCTCCCAACAGCCATCCCAGCCATCCCAGCCATCTCGCTTTGTCATTTAGTCCAATTTTACCATCCAGCGACTAATTATGCACTTCTCGACAAGATAGACTTGAAAAAAAAAGGACGAAATCCATATATCCCTTTCCCTTCCTCCCCCTGCCGGATCGGGTCGCCTTAGGCCACTTCATTTACCTGGCGCTGACCGCCAACGACCACCCACGGCCGTCTCCGACATCCTTCAACACTTGAAAGATACATTGTCTGCGAAGTCAGTCGTTTTGGACTGCAGACTGGGGTCTACCAACATCGAGGTGCTGCCCCAGCTTCTCAGAAAAGGGATCGGCTCTTGAACGTTCTTTACCCCCCGGTGTCGGGTCCTCGATTCCGGCCACCACCGTCCCCTGTCGACTACCTTGCCTTACTTTCACGCCGCATCACTCTCCCCTCCCCTCCTCCCGACAGAAATCGGCCATTAGGTTCCCTCCTAGTGCCGTCATTTTATTTCCAATACTTTCCAATACCGCACTGTCACATACCCAAGTTTGGTGAAAATGGCTTGTGCTTCGCCTAACGGTGCTGCGCAGGGTGACATGGCCGCCCCCTCCGCCGCTACCAATGCCTCGCCCCGACAAGCAATCATTCCCAAAAAAGTCACATTTGAGCTTCTCTTCACTGAATCCCAGGCGCGCGGGCGGCTACCCATGCGAGTTCACATTTACCCCCATGATACCACCGATTCCATTGTCACTACGGTCAAGAATTTCTATGGTCTATATCCAGGCGCAAATGGCGGCTTGGGCGTGAGCTTTGAAGACCAAGACGGGACAACCCTCATCGCGCGCTACGAGAACTTTCGCCATGATATGACCGTCTATGTACGGGTCACTGAAGAGCCGCCGGCTACCGTGACCCCCTTCATCGCACCCCCATACAAGTCCAGTGTCTCTGGTGCCCCATATAACGAGTCGGACTCTACTTTCCCGCGCCAACCCACAACAACACACTTGGGTCGGGATCTTTCGAGGTCTCCCCGTCGCCGCAGCCCGTCACCGAACGGCACCCGTGGTCGCCGCAGTGCGTCTGCGAATACAAACCCCAATGCTTCCAAGAAAAGCCGCTCTCGGTCGGTCAAGGAGTCGGCCGCCGACATCTACAGCGAAACTATGAACGGCTATAGCAGCGGCGATGGCGCCCCGAGTTCCAGCTCTGGCAGAGCCAAAGAACATATTGGGAACACAGATATCAGTGTCGAAAACATTGTCGAAGGAGGCCGCCGAAAGCGGGCCAAGTTTGAGAGCTCGGTATGTTGTCGCACAGTCGACTCCCCCTTCATCTCGTTTTACACATAGCTGCCTCGGTTTCTTCCATTTCTTTTTCTTTATTTTCTTCCAGCGTGAAAATGGTCTGACTTATTTTTTTTCTCTTTCTTTGCCCACAGGAACTTCCACTGTTTGCTCCGCCCCAAATGCCTGCGGCCACCTCGAATCCCTCCATCTCCCCTGCTCGTCGGGTCGAACACAATCGTCCCTCTCTACCTTTTGTACAACCGAGACATAACACTTTTGCCCACGTACCGCCTCTGCACTCCCCTCAGCAGCAGGGAACAGTGGCTGGGCACACTGCGCAGTTCGCGACCCCGGCGCCAGATACCCGCCGCGCTCGTGGAAGCATTGGATACCCTGAACACAACAATGGCATTCTCCCAACGCCAGACCCCACTGTCGGGAGCTGCATGTCAGAGGAAGACAAAGATGTCGCCATTCAGCTGATGCGGCTGGGCGAGATGTCTAATATATCTCACGGTAGAACGTCTGCTTCTACCTTGGACGATACTTTCAGTGGTCATGCAGACATCGCCTCGTCTACCGGAGCCACTAGTGATGGTGAGAGTGACAGCGAGGAGGAGCCTCTCCCTGAGTCCCGGCGCCAGAAGCTAGATGCTGCCGGCGCCATGCGCAAGATCTATCAGACTACAGACAGTCACTTCCAGCCCGCCGCCAATGGTGGCCACGCTCATGGCGACGTCGTCGCCGACTTCGAGGACGGCATGGATGTCTCGACAACTGAAGATGCCAAAGCCAGAGCCCCGAAAACAAAGACTCCTCTTCCCGACGGGCCGAGGCATAGAGCATCATCAACCGGAACCAAGACCAGTAGTAAGTCGAACAAGGGTCCAAAGGCCCCACGTGCTGGTCCCAATGGCAAGATGAAGAAAGCCGCCTCTATTCCTGCCATGAGCAATGGCCCGATGTCGCCTACATCGCTGCCCCCCTCTCGCAAGCCCTCCAATGCCTCGGCCGTCGCGCTCCCGCCTGGAATCGGCGAGGAAGACCAGGTTGACCTATCCGCCAAACCCCGGTGCCAACGTTGCCGCAAGAGCAAGAAGGGATGTGACAGGCAACGCCCTTGCGGCCGCTGCCGCGACGCCGGCCTGAGTGCCGACCAGTGCATCAGCGAGGACGAAGGAAACGGACGCAAAGGTCGTTACGGACGTCACATGGGCGTTCCCATCAAGAAAGAGGAGATCCTGAAAGATCACCACCCCTCGCTGCTCCCGGCTGCCCCCATATCGACGGCGCCTACTACCGCGGCCGACAAGAATAAGAAGCGCAAGCGGTAGATTCGGCGGTAAATCGACGAAGCTCCTCTCTCTCTTGCTCTTTTGCAAGGAGCAAAAAACTGAGACACTAGCACATTTTCGGGAGTCGAATTCTTTTTTCGTTTTTTTTTGTTTTTGTTACGGCTCTGGCGTGCGGGAAGGACGTAATGGGGATAGCCCGGCCTGGCGCGGCCACTTACACTCCCTACCGGCGTTCCGGAAGGCAGCGGTAATCGATCATGACGGGTTAAACATATTTTCTGTTTGCTTCACAACTTTTCTTTACTTCCTGTTTTTGTCGTCTTCTTTTTATGATTTCCTTTAGGTTCCCTTTTCATTTTTCTCTTTCCCTTCTGAGTACCGGTCGGTATCTGTCATGAGGTCGGCAACCACCATGGTTCGGCCAGGCCATCTTCATTGCGGCTATGCAGGAAGACCAATGAGTGAAGCAGAATCTTCAGAGGGGTGGTGGTGGGTTACTCGAAAGTCAACAGATTCCGCCGCACCTCTTGGGGCGGCGGCGACGGAGCAACATTGTGGAGCGACATGGCCCAGCCATGCATGCGGGGGAAAGGGGAGGGAAATGACTTCTGGGCCGATTGCAATTGTGCGCGATGAAGACGTGAAAAAGGGGAGAAGAGGGGGAGCGGTCAAATATCTGAAGGGGCCAAATTGTCTACGGTCTTGAGGTCTTGTTTTTGCGTGTTCGATGGGGGTTTTGTCTTCTTTTTTCTTTTTCTTGGACTGGGGTCGGGGCTCGGGAGAGGACGGAGGGGAGATTTGGGCTTGGCTTTTTGTCGGTTTCTCACTCCTCGATTTGCTCCGGTTCAGTGTGTGTTCGGTTTGCCTCTCCTTTGATTTTGCGCGACGGCAGAAGCGACTCCGCAAGGAGGATCTTCGTGTTGCGCGCATGAAGCCTGTGGCGCAAGCATACAGATGCGCCTCATCATATCTATTTACAATACGATAGCTTTATGAATGCAGTTTATTTCTTCCTACGGATTTATGTGACTGTACCGGTTATGCTAATTACAGTATCGGTAAGGATCGCTGAAGGAATTGCTTAATTTCTACTTCGAAGGCAGAGGGAGAATGTCCAAGACGTCCCGTTTTTTTGTCTCGTCGGAGGCTGTGTGGCACGATGCGAGACATTTCGGAGTGGCTCGCACTCACATCCTACAACACCAGACCCAGTGCGACGAACCGTGCGTGCTTCGGCGCGGGGTGGCTGTTACAGACATTACGTCATTCGGAACCCCGCGCCAGCGCTCAGGATAAATGCTGTCGCATTGTGGAAGGACGATAGACAAAAGGAAGTCAGTCCGCATTCGAACTGATTCCAGTTTGGTGTAAGGAAATGAACGGCTATATTAGTTGCCTAGGCGCCTTTTTTTTTTTTGGTTGTTCTCCTATGACACCACGGATGGGAGCGAACGTGGTCGGGCCTCGGGTTTTGTTCAAGGAAGCGGTCAAGCTGAGGCAATGGTCCAGACCTTACTTATCGATAAGATAAGTGGAAACAACCTGGAAGGTGGAGAACCACCCATGAAAATCGCTATCCTTATCCGCGCCGACCCACCCTCCCGTTCCGATCGGAGGGTCAAGTGGGGCCTCTTAACCCGAGATGGTCCCGCTTTTCGGTGCACGGCTCACAGTAGTGGGGAGGTTAAGATGGAGAGGCCGAGGTATATGTCAGTTTCTCTCCTCTGTCTTCTTTCAGTTGAAGAGAATAAACGATGAAACTTTGGGAGTTTGTGGATTGGATGAAGTTAGAATTTTCTGATTTCAAGTGTTGTGGAGACGCGAGCATTGACCTGAGTCATGGCCCTTTGCTGCATGGGTGACCATAAAGGTATCTATCCAAGGGGTAACAGCTATCAGTGTTATCAGTATTTCGTCCCCTTACCTCGTGGCCTCCCGTCGATCGCGATCCAAAGATCAATCCTTCCTGCGTGGGAGCTACATTTCTATGGTCAATAATCAGTCATCTTCAGTGTTTGTACTCCAGGGAGAGTCCGCAGTGGCTGGCGCATTGTGCTCTTCATGATATCCTACGTACCCGAAGCAGCATTTGGATAACCAATGAAGAGGAAAAGCAAGCAGCAGGGTATAAAAAACTGATGCGGGAATGAAGGACTTTTGGTAAAATGCCCCGCGGTCCAAGAATGAGAAGAATCCGCTTAACACGATTAATGTTCTTTTTTTATTTGTTATTTTATTTTGTTTGTTATTTATTTTATCTATTATTATTATTATTTTGCTCTCGACGTACATTTCGTTCTTAGGAATCTACAGAGTACGGATAGGCATTCAGCCCCAGGTTCATGCTACTCGCTTCTTCCGCTCACCCCCATATTGCCGATGCTTAGGACATACCTACATACCCGACATCCCCTGATTCATTCCCCACCCCTATGTCTGAGCATCGAAAGTCATTTCCACGAATTCCATTCGCTGGTAGTCTATATCGTAAGTAACGAATCCTTGTAGCTGATAGTCTTCTCACATGGGGTCTTTGCGGCGAAGAAGCTCGGCAAACTGCGTCAGGAAGTGCAAAACAAAACCACAAGCAGGCTCCAATTACACGTGATAAGTATGACGCACGAGGAAGTGGTGGATGAGCATGGCATGCACAACTGTGCCCAGAAATACGAAGTATAGGCATGGGCGATGACAGGGAGGTCCCGTAAGGGTATGCGCGGAGCCAGAAACAGGAGAAGGTCTAGAGCGCGGTTTGTATCTAGCGAATCACGGCTTCCCGAGGGCCTGGTAGCGTGGCTCAAAGTAATCCCAAGCGTCCAGCGTGACGCCGGATAAACCTGTTCTCGCGGGGATATTGCGGCACCGTACGGCATCTATCATCTCCCTTACAAGGGAGCTCTTCGATTGCCGTCGACGCAGGTGATATAGTTTAAATCAATCAGGTTCTCGCCTTCGGTATCTGCATCGTTGGGCCGTCAGGCCGATGCCAGATTGTCTACTGGTATTCCAGGATTCTTCGTCGCGATTTCCGCACGACATACTGACCAGACCTCCTGTTCCCAGTGGCCCCTCGCAGGCGCGGCCATGAATACACGGAATATCTCTACGGATATATTTGGCATGCTGAAGTGAACAAGGAGTTGGCTCAATTTAACATCGAAGCCCACCAACACTGTCGCGAGCAATCGGGTAGGGTTAGCGAGCCGGACGGAAAACAAGAAAGACGGGCGGTTCGACATGATGGTCACGGAGGTTAACGTCGCGACGTTGGCGGGACCATCGGCAGCGACCAGAGCCGTCATCGACGGGCCAGGCGGGTGCACAGGTTTGGGCCAGAAAGGCGATAGCAGTGAGAAGTAGCCCGGGCCGGGTTTAGCTTGGCTTGTAGAAAAGGCCGGATTGTAAACATTCAATGAGGCGTGGGCTACTCCAGCACGGTGGCCGTCTGAGAGACGAATGGCATGGGTCGTGAGACTTGAGGATATATTCCTACCTCTACATATACTAAGCTCAGCCGAGTTATGAGAAGACCGGGGGCTTAAGATTATGAAGGGCGGCCTCTACGAGCTGGGCGACCTGTGTGCCGTCTTTCCAGATAAAATCGTGATCACCTGTCAAAGTCTTGACCACTTCGACCGGGACCCCGTCTCCCCTAAGCTTGTTGGCCATGCGGTCGATCTCGGGTTCATCAACCAAGGTATCCTCGCTGGACCGGGCGAGGACGGCACGGCGCGAAGAGCCGAGCCTCTCGTTAAAGTTTCCGGAATAGCAGGTCGGCATTGACGCATTCCAGCCGGCCTCGTCTTCACCAAATGCGGCGGTGATGAAGGAGGTGTAGTTCCGTGCATGCCTCTCGTTGAAGTCGCGTAGTTCGTAGATGCCAGAGACGCCGATGAAGACGGCCGGAAGTAACGGCGCGGCGCTGTCCCGTTCCGCCTCGGCGGCTCTTGGACCGAGGGCGGCGGATCCCATGAGGAGCTGGTAGGCCAATGTGGCGCCCGCGGAGTGGCCCACGAGCACGTAGCGATCCGCGATGGAAGGGAACCGCCGCTGCAGAAAAGTCAGGGCGGCGCGGACATCGAGGAGGTGATCCGGGTGACGAGCGTTGCGTAATTTGGTGGGGGGGACGGATGACGGGTCTTGAGGGAACTGCGGGTGCGGCGAGAGTCGGTAGTCGATGCTGGCGAAGCCGGCGATGCGGGAAGGGCGATCTACTCCCTTGGCAACAGCGGGAGCGGAACGGAGCATTGCTCTGATAGAAGGGGTGAATGCCGTGAGAAGCTGCTGGGGGTCTCGCCAAGCTCCGCCGTGGATGAATCTGTGGGATCAGGGGGGGTTGAGGGATCAGCGATGAGATTGGAACCGAGGTTGAACCCGGGGACGATTGAGAGCTTACATTATCCAATGTCCTTCATCATCATGCTGGTGTCCCTCTGGGAATTCCCAGACTCCAACCCTTTGCAGCTCATGTTCACCGTAGTGGTGTTCGGAGTATATGAGTGCTTCGTCTGCCATGGCGAACGAGGACAAGTCGACGATGACGAAAAGCAGAGGGAAATGACTATGGGGGTGGTGATGGTGAATGAGGGGATCGTCAGAGTATCCCGTACCGTTGTACTCCATACCTAAGGTACCTACCTTATTAGCAAGTTCGCAACCTCCACACTAAATATACAGGTACGTTGTACCTACCGCTCTGCGGAGTACAGTCAGTGTCCAAAAGGACCGAAGCGCTCTGTATGGTTGATTGTGTCGAAACACTTCGGTCCTTTTGTCGGGCCACTGTACCTAGGTTGGTGGGTGTGAAGATTCAAAAGTGACTAGGTACACCAAAAGGGAAATCCCTACTAGTGTAGGTACTTTTGGTAGTTATATAAGGTAGTGGTCTGTACCCAGCTATCGCGATAGTGGGGAGAACGCTCTCCCCAAAAATATCCGCTCTCCCTTCAAATACAGCTTCCAGTATCGTGCTTAGCAGCTGATTCTTGAAAAATCGCCTTATATCGTCGTCCGAAGTCCACACGGCCCTTCACTGTAAAAGTGCGGATACATTCGATATTCAAGAAGCCAAATTTATATAGGTACTTTGGACTCGAAATCCGGTGTCAGATCCGATTGATTCCCGTTTGCTATCTGGCCCGGCTGTTTATACGGATGGTTGCACGGATAGGTACTCAATCGTAGTAAGGTACTCGCGGTTGCATCCCCATCTCGGTATGGAGCCTAGCAGTCAGTGTACGAGATACTTGCGGATATTCGTAGTGTAAGGTAGTCATACTTTGGTTTCCAAGCATTGTGTGTCAATCTCAAGTATGTTGCACCTAAGGTAATTATCTTGTTGATCTCCGTACCATGTACTCAGAAGGCAGACTCTTAACTGCTCTGTACCTTAGGTACCTGGTAGGTAGTACGTTGTACGCGTAGGTCGCCCAAGGTAGGTAGCATTAAGCCAAACCCACTCAAAACAGGACTAACTAAGATATCCACCTGCATTAGCGTAGCTCACCTTTAGTTCGGTCTGGAACTCCTCCCTGACATTCTCACACTGGTAAGGGTCCTGTGGTACCATGGTACCGACCACCTTCCATTCTTTCTCCAAGCCATCCGTCATTCGGTACAACAATGGGCCCCAAAACATACAAAGCACGGATACGCATACAAGTTATTGTTCTTATTCCCAGCGCTTCATCCAACACGGACACAGACCATGGCAAAAGGCCTAAACGTCGCTCAGAGAAGAAACTTTCGAGATGGCCAAATTTACTTCATTTTGCGTAACTTGTTTGGTATAGAAAAAGAAAATGGTCGAATCAGGGTGAAACCGAGCGGATTTCGATACTTTCCGCGTTACTTACCAGGCTACCAGTCTCTCCTAAAAGTATCGGTATCCCTCTTGCCTCACCAGTGCGGCTAGTTTATTGGTCAATGTTTCGATGCAGGCATCATCCCGCCGGCCATCCTCTTGCACTGGCGGCGTCTTTCATGTGCTTCATACCTTACTTGCGAAGTTATACGAATGCATGAACTATTACTCCGTACACAATTTGCACAAGGTAGCTTCCTAAGCTTGTTTTCTCTCCAACGTACTTACTGTACGTTGTATGTACGTCCAAATATTACCCGGCTTCCATCAATTTCGTTTCGGTGTTGGTTGTTCGGCCCTGTCGGGGATAGGAATAATACGACTCTGCCTGACTGCACCTTTCAATGGGCAGATTTGACCGAACGGAACATACTGTAAGAAAGGGAAGTCCAAGCCGTCTCCCCGCGAACCCCCGGTCGATGCAGAACAATCCCTGTCTCTTTGCCCTACAACGTACAACATACAACGACAACGTACGCTGGACGCAACCCTCTGCATCTGCATCATCTTACGAAGTACAGCGTACATACATACGCGACGAATCCCAATTGATCCTTCGACAGCGGATAAAATATGTCGCATATGTTGCGTACCAGCTGGACGGGTCAGGGGTTCCTCCAAAGCCCTGCAACCCTGCTAGAGCTTTTCTACGTAAAACCCCACCGGCCCCCTTTGCTCCCCTCAGACCTCGTTGTGGCTGTTATCATCGCTCCTTGGCGTTACCCTACTGAGAGCCGTTCTTCTGGGCCGTGGGTCTAGTCTTGAGTGGTCTTCGGTATGTTCTTCCGACTGGCCACATTGGTTCTTTCGGTGTGATGCCTTTTTCTTTCTTTCCCCCCTTGCCCTGTTGCATGAGGTGAATGGAATGGCGTCGATGGCGTGCAGAACACGGACCCGGCCGGTTCATCCTACCCAAAAGGCAAAGGCGCACGCAGTTGATGATTTACACTGCAACTGCAATGCGGACAGGTAGCACGGAGTACGGAGTACGGATAGTTAGGGTAGCGTTTAATCTACCTGATGTAGCATCAAGGCTTTCCCAGCCCCTTGTCACCACTGCCCTACCTACCTACTTCGTGTTGTCGGTTTCTTCCCTTCTCTCCCCTTCCCCCGGTGCCTCATCGCTCGTGTCTTTTTTTTTTCTTCTTCTTTTTTTTCTTCTCCTGCTTTCCACTCCCAAGTGATGCTCGCACTCCCATTACTCCCCGTCGCCGTCGTGTAACCAGGATCGTCGCATGGCTCTGACTGACTGATGGACGCTGAAGTGGATTTGACCGAGTACAATGGCGATGCTCTCGTCGTCACCGCTGGCCTCTTCCTGGCCCTCAGCTGGGCATCTGTCGTGCTGAGAACCTATGTTCGCGTTTTCCTGACCAAGGCATATCAGGCAGATGACTGGCTCATGCTGATATCTCAGGTCAGTTCCCAACCGCTGTCCCTTGACAAAGACCAGTCACCGCCCTATCTGTTTCCCAGGCCGCGTCGAGTCCGCTTACACTCCGCTGCAGGTCATTTTCACGCTTTCTTGTTCCTTCATTCTCGCCGGTATCCAAAATGGCCTCGGCATGCACAACAAGGCTCTCGACCAGGACCGCGAGATCACTGCCTTGATGGTAGGCCCAACCTCCCTTTCCAGTCCCCCCCCCCCATCCCCACAGCCAAGCTATATATGGCACATCACTGACAACGAGTAACTCTTACAGTACCAAGCCCTCGCGACTGCGACTTACGTCCTGAACATGATGTTCATTAAACTCAGCATTGGTGTCTTCCTGTTGCGATTGGCCCCTTCCAAGGTCTATGTTTGGACAATCTACATCAGTCTCGCCATCGTCTGCCTCTGGACCGTCGTCCTTTTCTTCTGGAATTTATTTCAGTGCAGTCCGGTTGAGGCCCAGTGGGATTATACAATTTCTGATGGCCGCTGCGTCAGCCCCGAAGAGGTCGTCGCAGCCGCATACTCCCTCTCTGTCATGACCATTCTCAGCGACTGGCTATAGTACGGGATCCCCCCCCCCCTTTCCCTGATCAGCACCATTGTCTGACCCCGAAAACACAGTGCCCTGATCCCCATACCCATAATTTGGAAAGTCAAAATGACAACGATGGCCAAGATCTCCGTCGTCGTGCTCTTAGGCCTGGGTATCTTGTGAGTTTGTTTCTTCTTCGACCTTCCTCCCCTTAGCCAATCAATGACTGACCCCTGCTCCGGTTCGACAGTGCCAGCATCGCCACTCTGATCCGCCTCAAATTCCTCTCCGACTTGGCCGACATAGATGATATTCTCTGTTTGTCTTTTCCGTGTTTGCAAGCAAAATCTACACCCGCGTCCCTAATACTGACCACTCCCCCCTTCTCAGTTACCGGAACCGACGCCATGGTCTGGACCCTCGTCGAGCCGGGCGTCGCCATAATCGCCGCAAGCCTCGTCACCGTCCGCCCCCTCCTCAGACTGCTCCGTCTCCAAGGCTTCACCTCGACCGGCCGAACGCCGTACGTGCACGGATCGGGTTGGTCCGGCGTCCAAAGCTCCGCCGCCCGCAGACACGAACACAAACCGGGCTTCCACTCCGCCATCACAGCAACCACGAGTAAATCAACCCACAACAGAACCGCGCCTCTACCGCCATTACACCGCCCGCACGGCGACGGGGACGGCGACGGCAAGACGGCGCCGCAGTGGATATCTCCCCTCGCCATGTCGCCGTTCAACCCGCCGCCGCCGAACGATCGTTACGGGCACCCTCCTCCCCCATTTGGTGAATTTCACCAACCCGCCCACATAGGGCTTGCTCTTTCCAGCGACCCGGGAAGCGGCTTGTCTGCCCCGAGGGCCAGGAACTTGGTCAAGAGCGAGATGTACGTCATTGAAGGGGCGCGCGTTGGCGATGGTTCGGAGGAATATCCGTTACCTTCACCCCGGACGTCCTCGATTGAGTTGGAAGGGATGGAGGCGCAGAGTCAGGACAGTGGCCGTGTAGGACTGGGTGTAGGTTCGAGGAGGTGGTGACGACGGCAGCTCTGGGCCTTTTTTTTTTTTTTTTTTTTTTTTTTTAATCCCGTCTTTCCTACTGCTTTGTGGTTTCATGGCCGGTCTTCTATTTACATTCGGAGTTAACGGGGGTATATATATCATATATTCGGTTCGGACACGGCAGCGTGGGCTGAACAATGGGGCATAGAACGCCAGTCTTGGGCGAAGCGGCCATGCAAAAGAACAGGAAAAGGGAAAGGAAAAGGGAAAGGAAAAGGGAAAGGAAAAGGAAAGGGGGCAAAGGAAAAGGAAAGGGGGCAAAGGAAAAGCTCTCTTGTGCCTGGATTTTGCTGGGACGAGAAACGGACACGTCCTGATGTCTTCCACACATGATGTATGGATTAGCCGACTTCTCCTTCTTCTAGGGCGTCTCTGTGAGATGCTGCTATGGAATAGAGAAGGAAACACGAAGCCATGGTGCAATAAACATGCTGAGGCATGATCTCGTGAGGGTATCATTCTCATCCTTTTTTTCCCAGGCCTTTTGGAACGAAACGTCAATGTTGACCCTCCCTCTGTTCATCTGGCGGGGCTTCGTACTTATAATCTACAATCAACGGGCCAGACCATAGCAAGAAGGCTCTCATTGTGCCTCCTCATCGACTACAAGGTCTTCGGGGTCAATGATCCAAGGCTCCTCTTCGCCCCAGATCGGTGCTACCACGAAGCGGCCCATGATTTTGCCCATGCCGTAAGCCTCGCCGCCATACTCGCCCTGCCGCCGCTCCTCATTCCACTCGTCCATGTCCATAATGACGGCCGTCGTGAGGAAGTTGACTCCCGTCGATGGCCCCAGGGACATCTTCATCCCGCCCCAGTCCAGTTCGACCGCGCCAGACTGGCGCACGTTGAGCTTGCCTATCACGCCGCCATTGGGGATGTCCTCCGCCATGTCCAGGATGGTTGTTTTGGGCTTTTGGCCCGAGCGGAGATCAGGCTTGACGTCTTCTTCCGTCTTGACGAGGACCTCGTTCCCAATTCCACCGTTCGCGGACTGGTCTAGCATGGTCGCGTCTTCCGACCCGGCCTGCGCATCGGGAGTCGCGGCCTGAGGCTTCAGGGGAGGCATGATCGGTGGGAACTGGAAAAGATAGAGCCGCCCATCCTTGTTTGCTGGCCTGCCATCATCTAAGGGTCCTAGTTCGCTCAGCAATAGCCTCTTGCTGGCCATTGCTACTTCTTCCTCCGGATCCGCGGCTGGCTTCATCCTCAGGCTGAGCTCGGTCGTCGTCCCTGCAATGGCGGGGGATACTGCTTTCTTCGAGTAGTCGACTTGGACTTCGACTTCAGGCTGCTTGGCTTTGCTGTGGGCATCAAAGTCGACAGCCTCCATCTGCAAACCGCCTTCTATGCCTGGCTCGGTCTTGACGCGAACCACGTCCTTCGGCGCAGCATGCCAGACACCGCCATCGTCAGCCGTGGCAGGCATGGGTCCCGTCTTCACGTCGCCCTCTACCCACAGATCTTCCTTGCCCTGGGCTTGTTCTTTCGCTTCGAGTTCGGCCGTGGTGGTCAGCTCTTTCTTCTCTTCTTTCCGGTCCACTCGGAGGATCCCCAGAGGCCAATGCGTTTCGGGGTCTGCTTCGATGATGGCAGCGGTCGCCTCGTCTTCGGAATCAATCTCGTGGTCGGGGGGAACACCTGCGAACCTGTCCGCGTTGATACGTGCCTCCCCACGATAATGAGACGTGGACCCGAAGTCCGGTTTCCCTTCGGATTTGACTCCGTAGCCGGAACCGCCGGAACCGGATCCAGAACCAGAACCCCCGCCGCCGATACTGCCAAAACCACCTCTACCACCGGATCGACTTGCGGCGCCTATAGAAAAACCATGTGTTAGTGGGCCGAGGATCGAAGGCGACGTTGACTTTGTGAGGGTTAGTTATAACTCCGCACGTACCTTCGCGGAACTGGGAGAACGGCCCGCTGGTGACGTTCTGCCGATTCATCCCGCCTCTTCCCATTGCATCGCCTCGACTTCTTCGGCTGCGGCCCCTGGACCGCGCTTGCAGGCGCGCCTCCTCCTTAATCCTCGCCTGCTCTTTGCTATATTCCTGCTGTGCGAGGATATCTCGTGACGCTTCGTCTCTCCGGATATTCTTGGGCCTGAAGCGACCAACACCGGGGCCCCTGCTTGGCTTCGGGACCAGGGTACCCCTTGTACTCGACGTGGTGGGTTGTTGCGACGTGCTTGGAGTTGTAGTTCTGGGGTTCTGGGCCTCGGAAGGAGGAGGAGGAGCAATGGAAGCAGTGGGAGCTGGACGTGGCTGGGCCATTGTAGGTGCTGATGTCGGTGTCGGCATGCGATCGAGATCGGGAGAGTTGGTGGCGGTCGTACTCGAGCTGATAGTGCCTTCTTCAACGGCAGAAGCACCTCCCCTGCCCCCCCTGCCCCGACCACGACCGCGCCCGCGACCGCGACCACGAGCCCTGCCCGTGGCCCTGCCTGGGGCGGTGTCCTCAGACACCATGGTTGAAGATGCGTGCGCTCACACGTCAACAAGCGTATCCTGTTAGCATAAGTTCGTGAGGCACATGCAATGCAATTCTAGAATTACTGGAAGAGAAGATGCCAAGGGAAACTAAAGAGGAAAAAGTGCGAAATCTTTGTGTGTATAAGCAGCAATGGGAGCTCTAGTAAACAAGAGGGAGTGGGTGAGAGGTAATAATTCTGTTGTGAAGAAATACGAATAGAAAGTACCGTGGCGGGGCAGCGGTAGAAAGTTGCGATGGTGGGGCACGACTTTGCCCAAGCACGGTCCCCTATGAGCCTGGAATATAGGGTAAGGTAAGGTACACCTTAACCAACCATCTTGGTGTACCTGGTACTTTCCGAGTAGACAAGATCGTGAGTTCGCTGTTCTGTCCCAAATGTGGTGTGTCTTGTGTCCCGTCTCCAACACCTGGAAGGATAAGGTACCTATAATCTTAAGGTACCTTTTGACCTGAGATCGGCTTGATGATCAGTCTCTCGTGATATATAATGTAGAATCTACCTAGGTACCTATCTTACACACATCATTGCCTGATCTCCGTACAACTCTGATATAGACCCTTCTCTGGAGAGCATGTCTCCTATCCATAGTCGCCCACCCTCCACTGTCTTGGCGCCAAATTTGACAACTACGCAGCCTCTAATGCTTGCCGCGGACCACAGAATACCATGCTGCTTCTCTGCATGGAGACGCGACAGTCGCCACTGTTCTTCGGCCGACTTGTTGCTGTCTTCTTTCTCCCTGACCTCGGCCGAGCGAAAATCCCTAGCCCCCAGGCGCGGAAGAGAGCTAAATTCGGAAAGGAAGAATTCGCCTAGGCGTGTCATCTGCTTGCCTCGGAGGATCAGAGTCCCGAATAAGCCGTGCCCATGCATAGACGCGTGAAGCCCCTTTCCAGTCAAGTCACGGCTGCCCTCGTCCAGGACGACCGTGTCTCGGAGCAAGAGACGGTCCTCGGCTGGTGCTGCCTCTCCTCCCGTAAGCCAGACTTCGTTCCGGCCTTTCCACCGCACGAAACTCCAGTCCTCGCCTAGAGCCGACCGGCCTTGGGTGACCCAATCCAACAGACACAGGGAAGCACTTGCGGTTACGGTGAACACCTGGGTCTGCTCATACACGCTTCCGGCGAAGGGCTGCACGGGGTCGGGTAGGAGACAGAGGCCAGCATCGTCAGCAACACGCACGCTGAGGTTCTGGCGAGTGATAACATCCGGGGAGGGGGATTTGAGAATTTTCGTATGGCCCTGCGTGACGACGCTCAGTCTTGCGTTTTGTGATACCTCGACGGCGAGCTGGATCGAGTCGCCGCCGACCAGCCCGCCACCGTAGGATAGGAGGAAGACCAGCGCACTCTTCTGCTCGGCGGTCGGAGAAGGGGAGATGAGCTTCAGCGGATATTTGTACGTGACGGTTTCTAGTCCTGGTAGGCCGTTGGGGAGTAGTTTCGCGACTATGCGGCCCTCCCCGCTGGCCGAGTTGGACTTGGGGAAGGGAGACTGCATGGTGGCCAGCCGATCTAGGGCAGACGTGTGTCGATGAGAGACTAATTAGATCAACGACATTATGGGAGTTGTGATCTGAGTGAGAAGCTCCCAGAGTAGCATATATTCACAAGTTAGTACGCTAGGTACCATATTTAAGGTACCTTACCTTAGGCGACGCCAATTCGTTTTCCGAGTCTTAACTGAGGTACCCGTACTTGTACTTGGCAATTATAACAAAGTACTCCTTCATACACTGTAGGTCTCGTACCTACAACGTAGATAGGCGCCTCCACCACAGTGTGCGACACACCGTATGGTTGGCCTAGCCCAAGGTCACTTATTATTACGGAGTACCTACCTTACACCGCCACCCTCACAACACAACAACAATCCAAACGCGCCAGCGGACTTACCCCGGTGTATCCGTGCCTGAGTACATACAGTTAAGGTAAGGTACGTACCAGCCCGCACCCTTGGCCCACCCTCCTCCCTACCTACCTTAACGTCGACGATGCCTGCTTCAAAGTTCCCCGTTCTTTATCCCCCCATGCATTGAAATCCGAGACGCGACATTTTCCACACAACACTCCCACGATAATCTCTGTCGCCCTGCGCAACAGAGTCCATTCGGTCGTCGCGAAGCGCCTTAAATGTTTCTGGTCCGACCCCCATTGAGGGAAACGATGGACAACGCGACGGCTTCTCCCGACCCCGACTCTACGTCGCGTCGCCGCTCTGGACGCGTCGTGCGGGCACCCGAGAAATACAGCCCCGACATCGTGGTCACGTCTAAGCGGAAGAGGGGCGCTGATGCCGATGACGATGATCATGAAAATGACGATGAAGACGCGAACGACGAGAATGAAGCACCCCACACCGACGATGACATGAGCGACGCGACCGACACCTACGCAACCAGCCACAAGCGGCCCTCCGCATCGCGTTCGAAAACCTCACATAAGGGGCCGGCTATAAAGAAACCTCCTGTAAAAAAGCGGGCCATCAAGAAACCAGCCGTCAAGAAGCCGAAGACAAACGGTGTCGCGTCCAAGTCGCTGGGTCATGGTTCCGCTCTTCCCTCCAGACCGAAAAAGAAGACGGTTGCTATTGCCAATTTCGGCCCGCCCGGGGAGGGCGATCTTTATGGTGATTCCTCACACCCGTTTCGACCAGAAATGTTGCGCGCTCTAACTTGCGGGTCATTATTTAGCCGATGTCTTCTCATCGAGTCAATCCGTGGATCGAGTCGCCGAGGAATGGCTACAGAAATACCACAACGACGATGCACTTGCCGTCCGAGATCTCGTCAACTTCGTTCTTCGTTCATGCGGCTGCGAATTGCAAGTTACTGAAGATGATATTCGTGACCCCGACAATTCGGATAGCCGATTGACTGAACTGCAAGAAATCTATCAAGAGGTAAGCCTAGACCTGTCGGATACCTCCCCCCCCCAAAGACCTGATGTTCTTACTGACTTTCCCAGGAACACATTACCGAGTATCCCCTCATTTCGAGAGCCAAGGGTACCAAATCTTTCCGTGAGCTGTTCACGGACTTCTTCCACTCCTTCGTCGCCGTGCTCCATGAGACCGATGTCTTGTACAAGGATACGGCCTTAATGGAGAACATCAGTCGCTGGATCGCTTCCATGTCCACCTCGTCACTCCGGCCTTTCCGTCATACCGCCACCACAGCTATCTTGTCTTTGGTAACAGGACTCGTCGAGGTGGCCAAGACTCTAGACGCCCGTATTGCCGGCATTGAGCAGCAAATCGCTGCCGGCCAGAGGGGCAAGAACCAAGCGAACAAGGCCAAGTTGTCCGAGATGCAACGCAACTTGGACCAGGCAAACGCGTACCGAAAACAATGTAGCGAGCTGATTACCGATTTCTTCGACACCACGTTCGTCCACAGGTACCGTGATATCGACTCGCGTATCCGGACCGAATGTGTAGAGGCTCTGGGCCACTGGATCATACAGCTTCCCACTGTGTTTATGGAACCAGGCTTCCTGAGATACTTGGGCTGGATGCTGTCTGACGCTGTGGCTTCCACGCGACTTGAGGTGCTGAAGCAGCTTGGTCGCATCTTCAAGCGTGATGCTGAACAGTTGGGTCATTTTATCGACAGGTTCCGGCCACGCTTGATCGAGATTGCGACCAAGGACGCTGAGGTATCCGTGCGAGTGACCGCCATATCCGTCGTGGACACTTTGCGGGCCGCCGGAATGCTCGATCCGGACGAGGTGGACTTGATCAACCGCCTCATTTTCGACAGCGAAATCCGGGTCCGCAAGGCTGCCGCTAATTTCTTCGAAGCTTGCGTGCAGGAACTGCTCGCTGGTAGGGTGGAGGAGCTAGGCGGCAGTGAGGTTCTCGACGAGGTGTTCGGTGGAACAGAGGAAGATGATTTCGAGTCCCCGAGGGAAGAGTGGATCAGCATCAAATGCCTCGCCGAAAACCTCGCCGCCTACGATGCGCAAGTGGAGCAGGAGCTTGGGAGCCCCGAGAGCCACGACCTCCCAGCCGCCGTCGATATTCTCCAGGCCTTGACACCCGCCACACGGGTATCCTTGGCGGCTCAAGTGCTCTTCGACAAGATGCCCGTGGTCAATCGATGGGAGTTGCTGGCCGGATACTTGCTTTACGATCACAGTATCAGTGCCAAGTCAAAGTCAAAAGCCCTAAGCCCTGATGAAACTGTCAAGAAGGCCCTTGGCCCTGATGGTAACGAAGAGGCTATTCTATTGGAGGTCATGGCGTCTGCCGTGACGGTGGCCCTGTCTCAGCCTGCCGAGAGGAAAGGGGGCCGACACGAGGCAGTAGATGCACAAGAAGACACCGCCTTGGAGCTGGCGGCATTGATTCCTCGACTTCTCAACAAATTCGGCGCCGATCCTGCTACCGCAAAGATTGTTCTAAGGATGGAGCACGTGTTGAAACTTGACGTCTTCCAGCAACTTAGGCAGGACTCGGCTCGGTATGAGAAGCTGCTTGATGAGGTGGCCGCCCAGTTCAGCAGGCACGACGACAAGGAGGTGCTTGCGGAAGCCACCGCCGCTCTATCCCATGCCCGACAACACGAAGAGCTGGAGGAACTCACGGACGGAAAATTATCGCTACTGTGGGAGAATACCATCAACTCGTTGCGCAATTTTGATAAGACGTGCGAGCTCTCTGAACGTGGCCAACTTGCGGAAGAACACCTTACGGACCTCTCTACCATTCTCACCAAGGTCAGCAACCTGGCGAGCGTGTCAGACTGCACTGATGTGCTGGAAACCGAGGGACAGTCTGCCGATTCACCGTCCTCTCCCATCGAGATTCTCACCGGCATCGTCCAACGTGGCACGTTTGCTCATATCGATGATAGGATAGACGACTTGGAAGACGAAGTGGTTTCGTTCGCCATCAAGGCCTGCCTGTTTTATTTCATGTGGAAGCTCCACAACCTCGAGAAGCTGATGCAGGCCGGCTCGGATATCCCCGATTCAGCCGTGGACCAGCTGCAAAAACTGCGCCAGACGTTCCAGGATAACCTCACCAACACGTTGTCGTCCCGCGTCATTATCGATGGCATTCGTCTGTATGCGACGTGCAGCCTGTGCGATCTTCACATCATCTTCGGATCACTGCGCACCTGGATTCAGAACTCGCGGCAGAGCGCCAAGTATCAGAAGCTGGCCAGCCTGGTGGAGGAGATCACACCCGGCCTTGTGCCGGAGTTGATCTCCATCTTCGACGGCGTCGAGCGCAGCTTCGCCAAGCGGACCAAGAAGACGCTCAATGAGCCCGCCGACGATGAAGATCCCATCGACGACGAATCGTCCGATGACGAAGACGAAGACGAAGGGCTCACGCGCGAGCAGCGCTTCGTCAATGAACTCAGGGCCGAGCGCTCCCTCTGCGAACTCGCCGGCAAATACGTCATGGCCATCTCTCGCAAGGTGCTCGACCAGTCCGGCCCTACCCGCGGGCGGTTGCGCAGACGGCTGTTGAGGAACCAGAGCAGGCTGGGCAAGAACTTCCATGAAGTTGTCGCGTTCTTGGACGAATCCAAAGTGGAACAGCTGTTGTACGGGAAGAAACCCAAGTCCCGGTCGGCTGCTGGCAGACAAGCGGCGGCTGCTGCTGCTGCTGCCAGTAAGAAACCAGCGCGAAGCGAGGAGATTGTGGTAGAGGAAGAGAGCGACCATCACGAGGACGACGATCCTTTCAAAGAGGCCGAGCCTGAGGAAGGTTCACGCGAGGATCTTCGGCGGCGTGAGCTTTTGGAAGACGACGAGCAGGACTCTGACGAGGAGGAGGATCGTGATGATGCTAACGAAGATGCCAGTCGGAGAGGTGGCGAGGAGTCAGGCCCAGATAATGACAGTGTTCTGGGCGACTAGATGGTGTAGGTGTAGCCGAAGAATGGTACATTCATTCAGCCTTGAATTTTCGGAGCTGCTGGGGACGAGTTGCCTGTATTCCAGAAGTAGGATGGGGACGCTCACGGGGACGGACGGGAGCTGAAGCGTTTTGTCTTCTCGCACTAATTTGATTGTTGCTAGGCAGGGATAGGCGGCAGTCAGTTTTGGGCAAAGTGGTATGGATTCCGGCGTTCGACGTTGACAGATGTCACGGTTCATGATGTAGCTCGATTGCTCGGTCTGAATTTCCGATGAAGCAAGAAAAGGGGGCATTATCTCTAATGCTGAACGACTACAAACATAACGAACCATCAGTCCTGTGTGACCTATCTGCAGCTTTAGGCCCTGAAACTCTTTCCATGTTATGGTGAGCACCGAAATCCCCACGGAGTCGACGGTAAGGTCTATTAGGTATAAGCCACCTTGGTGCCAAAGAGCGAGAAGACGCGCTCCCACCGTTTCCCCTCGCCTGCGTTGGCATTCGTCGGGTTCGGCTCGTCGACCTTGATGCCATACTGCTGGATGCAACAACTGAACGGCCGGTTGGAGATAGCCTGACTGATCCCTGACTGCGACGCTGCATCGTCAGACGGGCGAACACTCGTCGTCCTGGCACCGGCTTCGACATCTGAGCTATCCAACGGTGGTCTGTCAATGGGCCCCGTCGCGCCACCTCGCCTTCGCTTCTTCCTGGACCTGGTGCCTTTGACCTCTTCTAGGTTCCCCCAGAGGGTGAACATCCTCTCGCGAAGAGATGCCAAAGTATCCCGGTGGTATCGTAAATCGCAAGCGTCCAGTCCCGTTAGGAGCTGCGCATCCGTGTTCGAGACAACGGCCCAGAGATTCTCTCGTGGGCCTTTTGCAGAGGAAGGCATGGCTTGTTCCAAGCAGAGTGCGAACCGCCACTCCCAGACCCTTTCCCTGCCATCTCCGCCCAAGATGCTCGCATCGTCGTCCTCTGAGCTCGAGGAGGATGAGCTATAATCAGATAGTGCCTCGTAATCGCTCACTTTTCGGGGGAAGGCAAAGTCTTCCAGCCTTTGTGGGAAGAAATCGACGACCCTGACATTGGCACGATATCGAGCGCAAGTAAAGGGAAGTTGGCAGTCGATGGACGCTCCATGCACAGTCGCGGGGTATATGTGTCTTTCGAGGATGACGCTGAGAGCAGTCACAGGTTGGTCGGCATGCTCACACTTCACTATGCTACGTCAGTGAAATCTGGGTCCTTTAGTAGCACGACGCACCACTCACCATGCTCATTGAGTCCAAGCAAAGCCTCATCATCGGGGGTTTGCTCCTCCATTTTTTTCCGTGCATTTTCCCGCGCCTGAGCCCTCCTCTGCTTCGAGTTCAAGGGCTTACCATCAGGATGACCGGTCGCTTGCCTCTTCTTCCCTCTGGCTTCAGCATGTAATTCTTTGAGTTGTGATTTTCGTTCCTTTTCGTAGTCTCGTTTGCGCCGAAGCAGGTCTTTCAGCTTGGGGCTCATGTTTTCTCCGCCCTCCTTTGGGTTCAATACGTCAACCAGTATCTTGGTTCTGCCCGAGTCCCGGTGGTCTTCCCGCAGAAACCCTTCTAGGTTGTTCCCATTAGAGCCATACTTGACCTGAACGTTGCGGAGCCTAACAAAGGTTCCTTTGCAGGCTTGGCTCCGTATTACAGCGGCGTGCGGTTCGTAGCACGTTACCTGCATGCATCTCTTGCCGAAAGGACCGGTAAATCCGTCATATAGACTTGACCTGGTGCCTATTTCGTCTGCCCTACCTGAAGTATAGCCGTAGGGATCTTGTTGCTGGCCTCTGTGTAACTGTAACTCGGATAGATCTCCGCCGCCCAATGCGAAGTGAAAAAACGCCGCATTTTCCGTGTAATCGGTCACCCAAACCGTCACCTTATCTCCCATGTCGTATGGCTCCTTGGCCACCTGGACAATCAAATCGCAGAACATGTCCTGTCTTACATCTTGCAGCAAGCTGAACTTTTCCTTGATGTTTGTCGATTGGTTTGCCCGCGCCTGAAATTCGGCAGCCTCGGGAACACTGTCCTTGTTGATTCTGTGGTACAGCCATGAGACATACTGCTCGACTGCTGGACTCGATTCTGAGCCAGAATGAAGTTTATCAGGCTTCAGTGCTGTGCGTGCTGACTTTGGATACTGTGGGATTTTAGCTGCCTCATATACGTGTATCGTTGTTTGCTTGTGTGTGATCAAAGATTGCTGGCTGTCGGTCCTGAATTGTTGGACCTTGACTACATGTTAGTATACCACTAGTCGTGACGCTCCCCGAGAAAGCAATGCAGAGGGGGGCAAGATTGTAGAGAGACTTTTCAGACCAGACCTTTGCGGATAGCAGGACAATGACATCCCCAGGTCCAACTTCCGGCATCATCTCTCGAGGCCGAAAGACGTTCAGCACCAAGTCGCCTCCGTCGTTCTCCGTTGACAGGTCATACAAGGTCAAACTGCATTTGTAATCTAAATGCCCAAAGTCAGATATAGAGCTCAGTATGGTACTAAGAGCCGCGACTCACCTGATCCACTGGTAGGAACAGGGAGACGATAATCCTTGACAAGGCCGATCACTTTCACGAATTGCCTGGGCTTCGCTGGTCCTTCAAGAATGTCTCGAGCAGGAATAAAACCTGGTGGTAGTGAGGGACTTTGCCCCAGAGGCCTAGAAATCGGGATTCCGGCCATGACTATCATAAAAATACCGTGAAGATGGAGAATTAGAGTCGGAAAGTTTGGTTGTAAGGTAGGTGAGTGGATGACCGTGTAAGTCGGCCGGCGGCGTGTTCAAGAACGTAAGCCTGATGCGCTCCGCAGCATGTTCATCTGATTTGCTTTCTCAAACGGGAATGAACAGATGATTGGTAAAAACAAGAACTCCATCGAATTCTCGCCGCCGATGTTACCTGGGTGAAGAGAGCCTGGGCAGGTATTTACTCCGTACAACATACCTTACCTTAGACATGGGAGACGCGATGCGGGAAGCAACGAACGGACAGCTGAGCTGGACGCGTCTAGTTGTGTGCAGTAACCAGCCTGGTACCCCGCTTAGTAATCTGGGTAGGTAGGTACCTAGAAGTACCGCGACTTGTTGCCTGCTGGTGATCTGATGTTCGGTACCGGTACTGAATAACAACCTCAACAAGAGAACTAAGGTAGGTATTGTTTACATAATACCAAGCTACCTGTATCGATGCACATTCGTCAGGGTCATACATTGCCTTTACACTTATCCGTAGTCTTATCGTATTATTGGAGGATACACCGCCGTTGCGCAACCTTGTCTGCCTCTGACCTACGAATACGGTACCTTACCTTAGGTACCTTAGGGTTTTGTAAGTACCGAAGTACCTTGATGAGTGGGCGAACTGGAGAGAAGACACTGTGAGATAGGTACTTCCAAGAAGTCCCCGCAGTGCCCCTCCAACCATCCAAACCCTCCAACGAGGGGGGAAGAAATACGATCCAGTTAAAGAACGCCTAGCAGCTTCGCTGTATCCGGAAGGATCCGCTATTTCAATACCTTTCCTTAGAATTTCCCTTCTACCTCCCTATTCTTGTTAATAATAAATTTCCCACCCAAAACTCTCCTGTACTTCCGTCACTACCTGCTCAACTTTTTCACTTCTTCCTTCACCACCCCTTTACCCCAGGCCACATTTAGGCTCTTCGACCTAACCTGGTGCATCTAAACTTTTCGTCAACAGGATTCTCCCCTTCTTTCTATTTCCTCTTCAAACTGGTAATTTCTGTTCGCCTCTTGCCGCTGATCCTACTTCTTCCACCTTGGCGGTCAAAACAGAACAATCCTCTGGTTTCCCCACCCCCCAGAAGTCCATAACCGTACCTACTTTACTGCTCTCATCGACCAACCCGCGACCATGGCTGATCGCTACATTCCCGAGCATCGCCGTGCCAACTTCAAGGCAAAGAGCACATTCAAGCCTGAGGAGTTGCGCCGTCGTCGCGAAGAGCAGCAAGTCGAAATTCGCAAGGCGAAGCGAGAGGAGAACTTGGCCAAAAGAAGAGGCATTGCCACGGGCGAGAACCGTCCTGGTGCCTCGCTCGGTGCCGCCCCCGACAGCGATGATGAAACTACTCCCACTGAGACTCAAGTACGTGGTTCTTTCCCCCCCTACCTTCTTTTTAAAACCTCCTTTTGCCTTTTGCCTTGTTTCCATTTCCTTTTATTTATTTCTTCTGTTGTTGTTGGCCTCGGTCCGCCATGTTGCGCTGGGCCCGCCTTCTCCCCCCCCCCCCCGGGACCCCGCCAAATGAGCATCGTCGTATTTTGCTCGATCGGTTGCCAGGCGACTTCCCACAGCCCCACCATAATTCAGGGGCCTTCAGCTGGGTGACTCCACGTCCCTGTATCGTGGAGCACGCCGAGCCAGGCCCCATTCCCTATTGCTTTCCTTCCCTGCCGGCCTCCTCTGTGCCGTCTCGGTGTAATTGTCTGGCCATCAAGCTGACTTGTCGCAGCTCAATGAAGATCTTCCTCAGATGGTCGAGGGCGTTTTCTCGGACCAGATCGACCTGCAGATTCAGGCCACCACAAAGTTCCGAAAGCTGTTGTCCAAAGAGCGCAACCCCCCGATTGAAGAGGTCATCAAGACCGGTGTAGTCAGCCGCTTCGTGCATTTCCTACGCTCCCCTCATACCCTGGTCCAGTTCGAGGCTGCCTGGGCCTTGACCAACATTGCCTCCGGTTCCGCGACTCAAACTCAGGTGGTCATCGAAGCCGGTGCCGTCCCCATTTTCGTCGAGCTCCTCGAAAGCCCCGAGCCCGATGTTCGCGAGCAGGCCGTATGGGCCCTCGGTAATATTGCTGGCGATAGTCCCCACTGCCGAGACTATGTCCTTAGCTGTGGCGCGCTGAAGCCTTTGCTTGCCCTGCTCGGCGACAGCCGTAAGCTGAGCATGCTTCGAAATGCTACTTGGACCTTGAGTAATTTCTGCCGTGGCAAGACTCCTCAGCCGGACTGGGCTACCGTAAGTTCTCTCATCCCCGCCACCAAGCCACGTTCCGCTTGACCCCCCGTGCGCTTGTGCATGCGCTGACTATGCTCGACACAGATCGCCCCCGCTCTGCCTGTTCTGTCTAAGCTCGTATACTCGCTGGACGATGAGGTCCTTATCGATGCCTGCTGGGCTATTTCTTACCTCTCCGACGGCTCGAATGACAAAATTCAGGCGGTTATTGAAGCGGGCATCCCCCGTCGCCTCGTCGAGCTACTCATGCATGCCTCTACCTCTGTGCAGACCCCAGCACTGCGGTCAGTTGGAAACATCGTTACTGGTGATGATGTCCAGACCCAGGTCATTATCAACTGTGGCGCTCTTCCTTGTCTACTCTCCCTCCTCAGCTCGAATAAGGATGGTATCCGTAAGGAGGCTTGCTGGACCATCTCCAACGTCACGGCTGGCAACTCGGCCCAGATCCAAGCCGTCATCGACGCCAATATCATTCCGCCCTTGATCCACCTCCTCTCGAACGGCGATCTCAAGACCCGCAAAGAAGCCTGCTGGGCCATCAGCAACGCTACATCCGGTGGTCTGCAGAAGCCTGAGCAGATTCGGTACTTGGTGTCGCAGGGCTGCATCAAGCCCCTGTGCGACCTTCTTGCCTGCCCAGACAATAAGATCATCCAGGTTGCTCTCGACGGCCTGGAGAATATCCTCAAGGTCGGCGATCTTGACAAGCAGGCCGCTGGAGAAGGCGCCGACTCGATTAACCGCTATGCTCTGTTCATCGAGGAATGCGGCGGCATGGAAAAGATCCACGAGTGCCAGACCAACGCCAATGAGGAGATCTACATGAAGGCATACAACATCATCGACAAGTATTTTGCTGATGAGGAGGAGAACGCCGACGCTGGAATGGCTCAGGGTACTGGCCCGAACGGCACCTTCGGCTTCGGGGCCAATGCCCCTGCTCAGCAAAGCGGCTTCAACTTCGCCAACGGCGGCGATTCTATGGACATGTAACTGCGCTCGGCGTCGGTAGGACGTATGAAAGTCGCCTTACATCCCTATTCAGTCCGCAGGGGATTTGTGCGGCCAAACTAGCCGTTGGTCTATACCCCCGTCGCCATCACAAAAAGGGCGCCCCAGGTTGTCCCCAGCCATTCCCCCTTCCCCACTACACGCAGCACAGTTACCCTCCCCCTGTCACACGTCGTCCCCACCCCTTACATCCACGAGTCACACATGACCAATTTGGTTCATTGACAGTGGTAGACCCCCTAAATTCCCCTTACACACCACCTACAGTTGGCGTTCTCTGATATGGGTTGACGGAAATGCACGAAATTTTGCCATCCTCACGGCAAGGGGATGAAGAACAGGCCCTTTGGTAGCTTGAAAGCTCCAGCCTGAGAGAGAATTCGGAAACGGAAGTGATGGATTATGCATGCGTTGCAGACAGGCTAAGGTCGGTCGGTGTTAGGAGCAGGATCGCAGACGGGTCTCCCAAGCTGAGCGGGCGGGCCGGGATGGCCGCCCTGCTCATTTCACGGACGACCCGCGAGGAGCCTGGATGGACTCGTGTCAGTGAGAGCAATCCTCTCCGATGATCTAATCCAGCAGAATCCCAAAGAATACACATTATGATGGATGTTAGTGCATCCAGATACCGCGACGGGAAGTGAAAACCGGTGTGCCGCGACCAAGTGGTTGCAGGCACTTAGTCGCTGTCTATTCCGCATAGCCCGTATTTAGGCCAAAAGAGAGGCAGTGATTTGAAGTAAAAGTATAATATGTGGCTGTCCCCGTTTGGCTCGCATTAAATTTGTTCGCGTTGCTGAACGTCATGGTGGGCGAGAGTATCATGCCACAGTTAGGAGGCACCGAGGACACCATACCTACGGCTAATTAATTAGGTACCTGCCGATATTTATGGTAGAGGAGCTACTCGGTACCTTGGTACCTCGCCTACCGAAGGTACCTAGGTAGGGTAGGGTGGCGATGGCGTATAATGATTGGCCCCAGGTCTAAGTACCTATGGGTACATTGCCGGACCACATGTGGAGCTTAACATGTTGAATCGAGACAGGTCCTGTTCCTCCGTCGTCAAACCTCCAACAAATTGAGGCGACGGACAGCCTAGGGAGTAGTCCAGCCCAGAGTCACCATCAGAAAGCTTGCAAGGCCGGTATTCTATTTTTCGTTCTGTTTCCGTCATTATATTCTGACAACTGCTCGCCCATCAACTTCCCATGCTCTGCGACCCGCCAGAAAACCACCCCTCGCTGTAGGCGGTTGATGCATTCTCCTATCAAATACACGACGCGCCATGGACAACCACCGCATAACGCCAGGGGCCAAGCAGGTCGCAATCGACCAATGGACTCGGTTTATATACAGATGTCTAGCGCGCCGTCTTGATCACGCCAAGTTCGCGTCTTTTGTTCCCTACCTTCGGTCGAAGTACTCTCTCCCTCCATCTGCGATCGCAGACTTGTTCCTCCGACCGCAACGCAACGATCATGATTACCTCGATCCTCGCATTCCCCGATATCTCCAAGTTCTTACAGAACTGCGATACATCGACACTCCCTCAATTCTAAAAGCCTTGTACAGGTATTCGACGTCCCACAAGCAAGCACGGAGCACCAAGGAACGGCAACATGGCAATAAAGACACGGCGTCCGACACGGATACTTTGCGATGGGGAAGCTCCTACGGGGCGGAGGAGGTCATGTTCTACCGCCTTACGAAGGCTGTGGCACAAGGGTCTGCCGTTTCAGATCCCGCCGAGGCCTTGGAGATTGCCAGGATCATGTCCAAGTGGATGACCCTCTTCACGGATGCATCTACGGCCTTCGCCGTGGACGCCATGGGTCAGTATCAACCCCACCAGGCGCGGGACGAGATGGAGTCTGCCCGCGCTGCTTTCGTGGCATTGCTGCTCGGGGTTTGCGAAAATCAAGTTGTACTAAAAGCGTTGGGGAGGCCGCAAGCCGAAGGTAATCTTCATACAACACTTCAAGCCTCCTGCCAGGGCAAGGTCAAGGCTGACAACTGTGCTCTTCTAGACGTTCGAAAAGAAATGTCACGCAGTCTTGCCAACTTCGTCCCCACCATTATGCATAACGCTGGTCGAATTGCCACGCGACTTGATCTCTTCCGAACCAACACACTCGCCAGTTTTGAACCGGCAGATGAGAAGAAAGACGCAGCGAATACCGAGTTGGATCACCTGCTAGACACTACCGTTGACCTAGAGAACTTTGTGATACCCGACATACCTATTGCAAACACAAGGGCAGCGCTGTACATCTATCTGAGCGCTGCGGTAAGACACTCTAGACTATTTCCCCCCTTCATCACCTGAGGGAGTTGCTCACATGCCGTGCCATGATAGCTCGTTGGCCGGCCCCTCCTCGACGACGTAGCAATCTTCAGCTATCTGCATAATCGATATCAGGTTTGTCTGTTCTACACAAGATCTGGCAAGGGTTCAAAGGATCTGACGGAATCGGTAGGGAGACGTGCAATCCAGCACCATCGATCTGATTCTTGCATCGTTTGATGTCCTGGCCAACGCCGTGTATCGGAACGAGGGCAGCAAAACTGCCCATTTGCTGCGATCGTATCTCATGAACAAGCTCCCTCTTCTCATCTCCCAACTCAGTGAACACATGTTTCCGCCCCTGACCGCCGAATTCTGCATTACGGAAGCTCTCCGCCATGTAGATACCAATGCCTTCCCGACCCTTTCGTCCATGTTTGATGAGAGTAGAAACAACAACCCTTTTACCGACTCTGTTCGTGAGGACTTTTGCTGGGCTTGCTGCCTGCACGGGCTCCTTCGAGAGAGCAGCATCGAGGCCATATTGGGCGAGACGCCCTACCAGTCTCTCCCATCCAGGGGACGGTATGTGAAAGACGCCCTCGTGGCGGAGTGTCTCTCCGAGCCGGAACGAATCCAATCTCTCGTCGGAGAACTGGACGGCATGGATGGTGATGTGGGCGCCATCTGCCAAGCTCTGATAGAGGTGAGCCCTATTCTCTCCTCGGTGTGTCACGACATGGTGCTTACATATACCTAGGTTCTGGGCCAACTTTGTCGGAATAAAGACACAATGGCTCTTAAAATCCTGTGTAGCCAGTTGGCCAGGAAGCCTCTGGCTCTGGATGTGATTTTGCTCTTCGAAAAACCAGCAGCTATTCTGCACCCGCTATGCGAACTCTTGGACAACTGGAAGTACGAGGAAGACCAAGGCGAATACCAACCCGTGTACGAGGAATTTGGCTCAGTCTTACTGCTTCTTCTCGCCATCGCCTACCGCTACAATCTTTCAGCGTCCGATGTAGGAGCAAAGTCGGCCGAGTCATTTGTGGCCAAGTTGCTGTATCAGGGCTCGCTCAGCCGACCGTCAGACAGCTTGACCGACGAAGCGAAGGGACATCTTGACGCTTGGATTCGCGGACTGTTTGACCAAGATGCTGGAGGTCTAAGTGATGATCTGATTTCATGCTGTACGCCTCAGGAGTTCTACTTGTTAGTCCCCACATTGTTTCAACACATAGTCATGGCCTTCCGGACCGGCCATCTGTCTGAGGATGGCCTCAAGGGTGGGGTCGAATGTAGGTTGAACCCCGTCGCCGTCTGATTTGGGAGGGAGCTAACTCCGAGCAGATCTCGTCGATACCTTTCTCTTACCGTCCCTCGTGATGGCGATAACTTATCTCACCAACTCGCTATGGGTAGACGTCCAGAACCAGAAGGCGATTATCCGAATTCTCCACTTTGTGCTTCAACCCAGCACCATATCTAACGATGCATCAACGATGCACCAATCGGTTTTGAACATCATAGCAAAACCTCTCGAACATTCTCTTCGAGCCTACCAGCGTCAAGACCCCAAATGCCAGGATATTGAACCTCTGCTTCGAGCATTGAAGGACAGCATACCTCTGTCACGGCAAACCGGCGGGGCGGATCAGAACGAGCTCGAAGCCTGGACCACCACCCCGAACGGAGGCCTGACGACTGCCGTCCGGAATACAATACAGGGGTTCGTGCAGTGGAGCCTGCATCCTGGCATCAACGTCATGCCCACCTCGTACACGCACCGACAGACTCTTGCGGCTCACAAGATCCTTGGAGCCAAGAGAATCTTATATCTACTATTCGACGAAATCAAACAACACTCGGAAACCGGCAACGCCAGCATCATCTACGACATCGCGACGGCGTTGATATGCGCCCCGGACGTCAACAACGACCACGAGGTATCGGTGACGGGTTTCTTGGAAGACTCGGGAGGCATGGGGGCTCTGGTACAAAGGAGATTGACGCTGCGCGACGTTCTCAGACACGAGGCTGAGGGCTGCCGCAAGCGTCAGAAGACAGACATGCCCTTGGCCGAGCTGGTGACGAGGCTATACCGAAAAGTCGAGGCCCAGATGACCGTCTCCCGCGTGGAAGCCATCGAAGCTGAGACCATGCTGCAAAACAGTCTCGATCTTGGGCTGGACAGCGGGTCGCAGTCGATGGATAGCGCCATGGCCGCTGCGGCCGCCACGGCAACGGCCGCGCAGGGGGGCGGCATGGCCGTTGACGGCGTCGGGCTTGATCTCGGAATGGGCGGGATGGGTGGCATGGGCGGCATGGGCGGCGACGGGGGACTCGGAGATCTGGGCAACACGGGGGGGTCATTGGGATTGGGTAGCGACGATATATTTAGTAGGCTCTCCGGCGGGGGCGATTTTGATTGGGATTCTATGGATCTCGGATGATAGAGAACCCAACTTTAGACACTCGAGACAAATTCTCAACAATAATAATCAGTACTTCTTCCAAATGGGGAAGAACAAGGATCAAAAGAAATGGTTTCGCACTTTGATGCTTCGCAACAACTTGGCCCCCCTGGTTATGTACTTCGTAGAAGCACACGCGCTTGAGTCTCCGACAGACCTCTCCGAACCGCGTTGGGGCTTTTAATAAAAGCAGTCATTGCGAAGTACTCTTGCGGAAGTCCGCGGTGGTGCGTGTCCTAATACGCCCTCCGATGTCGGGCAATTGATTATTAATTTTTACCTTGTCGCGTTACGAAGTGTTCTCCCGTTGTAGAACGACAAGCGGTTCTGATTGGAGCGGTAAATATCGCACCTTTCCGACCTGGTGCGGCTGAATTCGAGGAGATGGCGGTGACTGTCATGCATACTCGACAACCCAGGCGCAATTCGTAATGATTTACTGAAGAGAACCACATAAAATGCACCTGACAATCCATCCGCCATGTCACATTGCGTGGGGGAGTTTGTCCATGGGGGTTTCGGTGTAGGTCAGGTACCTACTTCGAATGTGTATGTACATACACGAATACAGGCCCATACACAGAGACGGGGATGGGTGGTCTCGACTGAATTATGGATGAATCCGGTGGACACAACAACAACATACGGAGGAATTAATTACTAGGGGCCGGCGGATTCACTGATGGAAATGGGGGAAAGAGCTAGGTATGGCTTCATACGGACCGAAGCCAAAAGGGTGACGCTGGGGTCGGGAGTATGGGATGAACACGGGAACCCGGAGCTGGCCATTCATCTCCGTAACCGTCTGTTCTTTGCTCGTCCACTCGACTAACATCTCATATTTCAAACAGATTGCACGTGTCAGATGGCTGCTAGCCGTGAGTCAGTGGTCCTGTGTCCTGACGAGCGACGCTATTGTACGTTGTACTCGGCATCCATATCACGGGCCAGATCGGACAAAGCGAATGGCCCGTTACCGTGGAGTTCGACGCAATTTGGGGTAAAATCGGGGGAAGAGGTTGGGGCGGCTTCTTGGTCTGGGCCTACGAAATCTAGGCGCTCGGAAGAACAACGGGCCGTGAAACAGACAGGGATGGGGTACCAGTCATTTTCAGGGATTCTGTGCCTGGTGCACAGCGCTAATCCCTCTTTGGTAAAGCAAAAAACTCGAACTGGTATCCCAGAGTTTTGGTGATCCCTTCTTTGGTTCCTAGCGCGCCACATCCCGTTTCTCTCCCACTCTCCACTCTCCCACGCGTTACAACCGTCAGGAGGAAGGATAAAAAAAAAGTTCCTAGTACGGAGTACAGGACTCTATTGTCCGTTGGTTGTTTCTGTACGTTGTAAGCGTCTCGCGCCATTTTTATTTTCCAGTCTCTTTTCTTCCACGTCACCCACTAGCCCATCAGCTTTTACTTGATAATTTCTTTGTGAGAATATTTTCCCATGCACCTCGGTGTGCATACCTTGTTATCACTCCCCCCACATTCTCCCTAACCTCCCCGCAGCTTACCTGCTTGTTCTTTTCGCTCAGCTATCTTACCTGGTTAGCCACAGGCCACTTGAGCGATTAGACCAACCCAGATATTATTGCGTGGGAATCAGCTCTCTGTACAACGTACGGATAGCAGCCACGTACTTTCCCGATACGTGTTAGACACATTTTTGCGCACTCTTCCTTGACAACTACAAACTCAACCTCGTACAGGGCTTTAGTCTGATCTTTTCATGGTCTTGCTTTTCCGACACGCTTCTCAGTTTGCCCAACCCTGTTCTATCTTCATCACTTGGATAGGATAGATTTTTACTACTCTTATCCTGAGTCACCGCACCCGACGCGTCGCATTGAGAAAAAGTGGCGTTGTCCGCCAATCGATAACCCGGCAAGATGACGAAGGTGACGGCCGTCAAGGAGGCTGCCAAAGAGGCTCTCCTTGGCACTGAGGAGCCCGTGCAACTCTCTGCACAGGCGAAGGCTCGGTTCAATACCCATGCTGTCAAAGATCCCGAGACTGGGGAGCTCCATATGGGATCTGAGGAGTTTCTGAATGCCATTGCGCCCGCGACCGAAGATTACGTGAGTCAACCTGTTTCTACTTTCATCTCTTCTTCTCCTTTCCGTTTCCTAGATCCTCGTCTGGGGTTTTCGCCTCCTTAGTTGGCCAGCCACAACTGACTTGGAGTCCTCTTAATTGTAGCACAAGATCAAGCGCGAGCAGTATGGTATTCTCTTCCCCGTCGCCGATCGGAAGGGAACTGGCCGGATCAACCTCTCTCAGTGGGCCGCGTTCGAGAACCTCCTCATGAAGCCGGATGCCGAATACGAAATAGCGTTTCGCCTGTTTGACGTCGAAGGCACCGGCCAAGTCAAGTACGAGGACTTCCGGCATCTGTATGAACTGAACAAGGGCCCCGGCAGCATCCCCTTCGACTGGGAGTGCGAGTGGGCGAAGCTGTACATCGGCAGCCAGAAGAAGAGGCATCACATGGATTACCCCCAGTTTTCCCAAATGCTGCGCGGTCTGCAAGGCGAGCGCATTCGCCAGGCGTTCCAGCGTTTCGACAAAGACGGCGACGGTTTCATCGACCCACAAGACTTCGAGCGGATCATCCTCGAGACCTCCAAGCACAAGCTCTCCGACCACCTCCTGCGCAACCTGAACAGCCTGTGCAACATTGGCGCCGGGAGCAAAGTCTCGTATGCCAACGTGCGGGCTTTCCAGAACATGATCAAGGAGATGGACCTCGTAGAATTGATTGTGCGACGTGCATGTGCGAAGAGCTCGGACGGCAAGATCACGAGGGCGGAGTTCCTGAACCAGGCCGCCAAGATCACGCGGTTCTCCCTCTTCACGCCCATGGAGGCCGACATTCTTTTCCACTTTGCCAGCCTCGATAAGCCGACCGGGAGACTCGGTCTGGCGGACTTCGCCAAGGTCCTTGACCCGTCCTGGAAGAGCCACCTGTATGATTCGGACGACGTCTCGCACAAGGCAGTGCCCAAGCCCTCGGGACCGGCTGGCGTGGCGCTGGGCCAGGTCCTGGAATCGACCTATAACTTCTTCCTGGGCAGCATGGCTGGCGCTTTTGGCGCCTTCATGGTATATCCGATCGACCTCGTCAAGACTCGCCTCCAGAACCAGAGGAGCGCCAGGCCAGGCGAGCGGTTGTACAAGAACTCGATCGACTGTTTCCAGAAAGTGATACGAAATGAAGGTGTCCTTGGTCTCTACTCGGGCGTCCTCCCACAGCTTGTCGGTGTCGCTCCCGAAAAAGCCATCAAGCTCACCGTCAACGACCTTGTGCGGACTAGATTTACCGACAAGGATGGCAAGATCACATTGCCTGCCGAAATATTCGCTGGCGGTGCGGCTGGTGCTTGTCAAGTTGTGAGTTTTTTGCACCCTCTGCATTGCAACCCAATGCGAAAACATAGTAGAGCACGGACAAGCGGGACAAGCTAACCATTGGGCTTCCTTGTTTCTAGGTATTCACCAACCCCCTCGAGATTGTGAAGATCCGGCTCCAGGTACAGGGCGAGGTGGCCAAGACGGTCGAAGGCACTCCGAAGCGGTCTGCGATGTGGATCATTCGCAATCTGGGTCTCGTGGGCCTCTATAAGGGTGCGTTGGCTTGCTTGCTGCGTGACGTGCCCTTCTCGGCCATTTATTTCCCGACGTACAACCATCTGAAGAGGGACATGTTCGGAGAGTCACCCACCAAGAAATTGGGCATCCTCCAGCTGCTGACGGCAGGCGCCATTGCGGGCATGCCCGCTGCGTACCTGACAACGCCGTGCGACGTGATCAAGACGCGGCTGCAGGTAGAGGCTCGCAAGGGCGAAGCCACGTATAACGGGTTGCGACACGCCGCCAAGACGATCTGGAAGGAGGAGGGCTTCACGGCGTTCTTCAAGGGCGGTCCGGCACGCATCTTCCGCTCGTCGCCGCAGTTCGGTTTCACCCTGGCCGCGTACGAGGTGCTGCAGAACGTCCTGCCTTATCCGGGCAAGAAGGAGGAGTTGAAGATCCACACGGGCGTGGAGGGCGTCGTGTCGGCGGTGAAGGAGAAGCTGGACACCAGCCCGTTCGCGCGGAGCCGGAACTCGCTCAAGATCATTCTCGACATTGACGAAGACTTTGGGAAGGTCAAGATCCCCAACGAACAGGCGTGGAAGACCTTGCCCGCATTTATGCAGTCGGGCAACGGCAGCAAGGCGTGAGCGAAAGAAAAGGGACGTCGTGGTTGGGCTCGGCTTTCGGATTACCGGAACTTGATCTGATCAACCTCCCCCCTTCAGCATAGCAGTGGGGGAGGCGTTTGATTGGTTTCGTTGCATCGTCGCATCGTCCAGCCTTGGCATTTTATAGAACGGGGGTGTGCTTACACATACCACTAGAGAGGGAGGCAACGCATCGCATCGCATGGCGCTGATCGAAGATAAACCGCGGGGAAGAAGCGTGCATCGAGACTTGCACATACCCATTGTTTAGGGCTTGGGGATTTTTTCCGACTCGTCATTTTTCTGCAGGCGTTTTGGGGTGGCATTATAAACGTAAAATTTCAGATGATTTTTTTTTTTGTTCCTTCTTGTCTCCTCCTCTGCTTGCTGGAAAGATTGTATGAAAGGACCAGAAATATGCAAAAGGTAATGCCTTTTTCAGAAGGCATTGTGCTGGGGAGCCTAGTACATATCGCTCTGCATCATGATGATTCTGACGTAAAGGTAGCTAGCCGCGGTTATGACTCGTACCTAAGGTATCTTTTAGTGACCCCGGGTTGGGACAAAGTACGGATACCAGAGGTGGAATGCTACATTGGAGCATACATCTCGGGTACTTTAACCCGGAAACTAAACTCAGAACTGGTAAATCTTTGGGGTAATCCTTGGGGTACGGATACGTGTGGTACGCTCCGCAAGTATCGATGTGAAGGCTTCCCTCGTTTCCTTCGTGCTGGGTGATGCCTCCGTTTTAGTGTAGTTACTGCTGCGTACCAACACAGAGATACGTGGACGTATCGAGGAAGGAGGGACGCAGTTAGGCCCCTCAATCCCCACAAATACCCCTACACGTGTACTCCGTACTGGACGTGCTTTTACGGGGTCGTCCGGAGTAGGTACTACGACTTGTCGATCACGAAGCTTGGGTAGCCAGCCTTCTAGGTTCCACGTCAAAAGCGAATTCCAAATCTTCTCGAAAGGAGGGATATTTCGATCATACTCCCAGATTGTTATTGACACAAGTTCTCTCGCCTTGTAATGTGACTGAACCTCTGCGTGCTTCGCGGACTTACGTTGGGAATAGTTACGTAAACCTGCCAAGAGCAACCAACTCCAAGACGCGAATTACCCGCCTCCAGCGAATCTGGCATTTAATTCTGCCACCACGCAAACAACAAGACGATGGACCAGGATGTGCCCGCGGTCTGGACCCTGTACCGGACTTCATCGATCGCGTTTCAGCTTAATCGTTACATTGCCTCCATCATAGGAAGTACGGACACTTTGTAGTCTCTCGACCGGCGCCGAGTAGCGAGCTCTGAGGGCGCGTGTCGGCGGCAAGCCACAAAAAGTCCCTCCCTCCAACGGCAGCGCAGCCAGGCGCAGCAGCTTCCCAATGGCTCTGCTGGAGTTCTTCTCGGGCCTCGTTGGCTGGATCTACTTCCTATGCTGGTCCGCCTCGTTCTACCCGCAGGCCATTCTCAACTATCGCCGGAAGTCAACGTCCGGCACTACGGTTGACTTTCCCTTGATCAACTGTCTTGGTGGGTAACCAAGCATCCGACCTTTGGGGCGGCTGACGATCGCATGCTAATCCGACCCTACGTACCTAACAGGCTTCCTCGCCTACCTCGTATCCAACGCAACATTCTACTACTCCCCCGTCATCCGTGAGCAGTATGCCGCCCGGCACCATGGGCTTAGTCCCACCGTCGCCTTCAACGACATCAGCTTCGCCGCGCACGGCCTCCTCCTCTCCATCGTCACCACCAGCCAATACTGGCCCTCCCTGTGGGGGTTTCGGCCGAGTCCCGGCAACCGCCCTAGCCGCTTCATACTCGGCATCGCGTTTGGCTGTGTCGTTGGCGTGGTGGCTGTCAGCCTCGTCGTCGCCGCCGCGCCACCGGGTAACCCTCAGTGGAGCTGGTGTGCTCTCGACGTAGTGTACGCCATCTCGTACGTCAAGCTCGTCGTCACTCTGGTCAAGTACACGCCCCAGGTCATGACCAACTACCGCAACAAGTCTACGCGCGGCTGGTCCATCTGGCAGATTCTTCTGGATTTCGGGGGCGGCGTGCTCTCCTGCGCTCAGCAAGCCATCGACTCGTATTTGCAGCATGACTGGTCCGGGATTACCGGCAACCCTGTCAAGTTTGCCCTGGGCAACGCCTCCATGGTCTACGATGTCATCTTCATGACCCAGCACTACGTACTGTATCCTGATCCCGCGGGGAAGTCGAGTGAGCGGGATGCTCTGCTGCCTACCGTCGAGGACCATCGGAGGTTAGATTAGTACTAGTCTCTCGTCCATCAATATCTTAGTTTGTTTATCTGCGGTCATCACATTCTCATCCGTCTTCGACGCGGCGGCGTAAGACGCCATTTTTTGATCCTTGCGCGCTGATTTGATCGTCACTTGACCATTGATAGACTACCTATCCGTAACAAATCTACGTGGCGAACAACTTTTCCCCTCCCCGCTGCGCAGACCTTGGTCCTTGGAAACGTCATTGCCCGGTTGAGCCCGTGTCTGAGTTTGAAGATCCCCAAAGGAGATGGCTGTTAATTACGAGAGTTCCTTGGCGAACCGGTCAGATGTTGCCCAGCTTACAGCACGAAGATGACAGGCCGCCTAGCCCCGACACGGCGGCGGTATCGGTCCTTAGGTGTGAGGACGTTGCTAACTCGAACCATAACTCCTCGCACTAAGGACCGACAAAGACTAAGGACGCTTGTCGACCGTTCAGGATCGACTTACCTTGATAGAATGATGCCATGGTTTCGGCCCGGGACCGTCCAAGGCGCGAGCCAAAGTTCAAGATTGACAACGCCCCGGGGCACGTTCTAACCAAGACGGATTCCCTCCTGGCATCAAGTGGAGAAGAGATAAACGGAGGTGGGGAAGAAACGATGGAGGATACAACGTCCTCTCGTCGCCCGTTTCTTTAACGGGAAGGTTGGATCTCATCGTAGTACGGGCTTGGCGGACCTAGATGATGACGAAGGGCTGCATGAAAAGTCAGGAGCGTCGAGGGCCTGACTGTCAGCCAGGCTTCGTCTAGCGGTCTTCGTGCTAAACAGATATTCTGCTGGCATGTGGCAGGGCATCCCTCGTCATGGTGAGGCACACCCTGCGAGTGCTGTCCGGATCTTCTCCCTGTCTGAGCATGGACTTTGGGGGGGTACCTCGACTAGAACCCGCCTTGATCCACGAAGAAGCTGTTCCAGGGTCTAGGGGTGGCATCACCGAGCGTTCATCGGCCAGCCCCTCTTCTTTAAACTCGTCAAGGTTTGAACCATGGGAACCTTTTGGCCACACAGGCTGTCCGTCCGATAGGGGCTCATCCATACTTGGAATCGACTTGTTTCGACGGTTAGACTATGGATTTACGGATACAGTAACGGATACACGGGCCTACGCGGGCCTTTTCCTCCCTTGACAAGCCTCTAACAACGGAAGATCTCTCGCTATCTCTTCATATCAGCCGCTACTCCCGAAAATGGCGAGGAGACACGACTGCAGGACATGAACATCCCTTTTCACATTAAGATTCAGAGCTACTGTCCGTTACCAGACCGCTCTGGGTCACGCAAGAAGTCAAACTGGAGTGATAAAGTGATAACGGATAATCGTACGCTTACTGGTCCGTGGAGCCAGCAACGGCAGGCTTACTCTCCTCTTTGTTTACAAGTTTACAGACGTTTCCTCGATGATGGTACACCTCTGTATATGACATCCGCAGAGACGATTGATACGGGAGGCTTCTGACTAACAAAGCAAGCAACCCTAAACCCCCCCGGTCCCTTTTCTTAGGTGAACCGGAAGTCTCTCGGATGCTTACTACCTAGGTATCCGCGAGGGCCTCGTTTCCTTGTACCTAGAGATATCTCCGGCTAATACCTCGTATCAAGGTAGTTGGTAGGGACACAGGGCGTCCTTCGCCCTTCCAAGGGACGGCACCGGTGTGCAAACGACGTCGACATAAGACGAATACAGGCGGTCCCGGTGTCGGTTCTGACTCCAGGCCTCAGCCGGCGTAGGCAATCGCCTGCGCCCTGCAATTCTCGTATCATCTCTGCCTCCTTTTCCACAGCACAGAGGAAGATACGAGACGGTCCAAGGGCATTCTAAGTGCCCCCTTTGGCGTGAGAGTTAGTGGCTGAGTCAACCTTGATGGCACGTATCGTCTTCGACGCACGTAATTATAGGGCCAGAAAGCGACCAGAAGGCGACCAGAAAGCTGGCTGCCTGCTCGAAAGTCAATACAACGGTCAGGAGTAGCCGGTGGCGTTAAGGGGGCACCCTTCAAAGTTTGGCACCGGCCTGTCCACCATAGCGCCCCTTTCGAGGTAAGTAATCAGAATACGGGCTTGAGGCGCCCGCCACCCTTATTCATCCTCTGCCTGGGGTTACGAGTTGACGTGTGAAAGTTCCCCGTCCGTCTGAGGCCAGAGCGATGGGTCGAGTACCCTTGCAGATATAAAAGACCGTCAACGCCCTCCCAACGATTGCAAACGTGTTCCGTCTGTTGTTCAAGTTTACAACGCCTTTAGCATACATCTCTTCGTTATTTGCCGGTGGTCTCAACTCTCCCCAGTCAGCTAGAGTAACAGCTTGCTAAACCCCCCCTCCCCCCCTTTTTTTTTCTCTTATTGTTCTTAGGGACCACGAGCTTTCTTCCTTTCCCTCTGGTCACGAAGTTATTCTCGATAAAAAAGGGTAAAGTAATTTCCCTAATAAATACTCGCTAGCTTTCTAATAACGTGTTAGTTAGCGTAAGCATATTATAATATGCCGTGTTGCCTTACTATCCTAAGTTACGGCTGCGGCCATAAACATCTCTGGAAAGTATACTGCACTAACGACTGCCGCGATACCCTATGCCCGTCTTGGGAGCAGGAACTCCTCGCCCAACTATATTACCGTTGGAAATGCGAGGACTGCTATACTCGTACTTGGGAGGAGCGCGAACAGTGTCGTACCGACGCCTTCGACGAAGAGGCGAATGCTATTATAGCACGCCGAGATATGGCTGAATGCTATAAGTCGTTTATTATTGCCGGCGTGCGGGCCCGCGAGATCTGGGATGATTACCGCGTAGAAAAGGCCCGCGTCGAGCAGGTCGAGGAAATCCAATGGGCGGACGACTTCGCCGAGCAATACGGCCGGCTTATGTGGACGCTTAAGTACGGTGTCGAGAACGCTGTGGGCCCCGCTAATGCCCGTCTGGCCTATATGCTTAAGGCCAAGCACTGGGATCTTACCATCGTACGGGATATCACAAAGCAAGAGGCCGTCGTGGCACGTCTCCGTGGCACCCGGCGCGTGGAGAGCAGCAGCACCTCCGGTGTCAAGGACGCGGCTACTCCTCGTCCTCCTCCTACTGCCGGCGGCGCTCCCAAAGCCTCTGCTACCAACTGCAGAGCACCGAGTCCTACCCCCGTTAAACGGAAGCGCAGTTCCACTCCTTCCAAGCGGAGGCACATCTCGACCCCCGTCCTCTTGCCTCGACGGCCACTTGCTGCCGAACCTGTGGCTTGTTCACCGAGACGTTGCCCTTCTTTGCAGAGCCTCTTACGGGAAAACCCCGAAGAGAAAGAACAGGAGCCGTATTTGCCCCAAGGCGGCCTGGCTGCTCCCAGTGCGTAAATGGCCATCTTTACGACTCCTTTTGTCTAAACGGGCCTGGTCCGAGCTAGCTGGTCATGGGAGACGGTGATCCGCTTCTTTTTATGGACCTGGAACACGTCCCAAAGTCTTACTACTCACATAGCGTTAACTGTTCGAGTAAGCCTGCAACGCAACATTTGCCCGACGTCGACGGGCAGAGAGACGGAGATTGGAAAATGAACCAAGAGCGGCACAATGGAAGTCAAGCATGGATGCGTTGCCTGAAATGAAGACCGTAGCTTTTTAAAACATGTTTAGCCATCCCAATAAAGCATCTCCATTCATGCAAAGAGTCCCCCCCCCCCTGGCGTCTCCTTCACCTTCTTGGGCCGCCCCATTCCCAATGAAGATGACCGGTTCGACATTCTGACATGTAATTACCTCGTTGGCGGTCTTTTTCAGCTTGCTCGAGACGGTCCTCGCTATCTCCGTCTTGCGCCCTCTAGAGCACGAAAAGGGTATCCCTCCAGACATAAGCCAAACGCCTCAAAAACATTCAAACCCAACACAAACATTTAAATATAAAAAAACCCCCCAGATGCCCATCTACAGACAACTTGCAAAATCTCTGGCTCAAGAGGACATGTTCATGGTGAGTTCGGGAAAAAATCTCGACAGCTTGTTGGGGTGACCGATCCCCTGTCCTGGGTCCCCCGCCACATTTTCCGAGTCGCTATCATCCGCGGCAGAATGGATTTCTTCGGCGGACGGTAGAGATCTCCGTTTTACTTTGATGTTTCCTTGCACTTGAGGGCGTGGCGCGGCAGTCTGACCTCCCGCTCCCGATAGAGGCGTAACGGATCTTATATCCGCCGCCGGGGGAGGAGCAGACAGATCGCGCAGCCCAGTAGCCGATCTGGTCTTGGGCAGCCTGGGGACAGCAGAGGCTGTTGCGTCTCCCGTTACGCGGCCGTGAGAGACACCAAAAGGTATTGTCGGGCCGAGAATCTTCTTTTGGGAGACTTCGGAACCTGTGGACATGTTCGGCATGGACGTCGCTAAAATGTTGGATGTCTTTTCATTCGCCGTCAGGCCTTTGGCTTGCACAAAGGCACTTGACCTGACATGGTAGGGACTCCGGTCATAGAACCTGTCAATGATGGGATGCACCATGACGGTCTGGTTATGGATGGTTAGGATGGAGTTGGTGGGGACATTGACCCAGTTCTCTAAAGGGGGGGGGTGTCAGCAACCGTTACTCGCTCAACGTTCCGCGTGTCAGACGGGGACTCACCTCTCTCGAAGGTCAACGGTTCGCTAGCGACGAGGACAATATCGGCTCCCTTGTCACGACGTTCCATCTGATAGTTGGTGTCACTCGGAGACGTGGTCCTCCTCTCCCATTCCGTCCCGGACGAGTAATATAAACTGGCCGCCTCGTCCGTGGCGCTGTTGATGTACCGCGTGCAGATGATACTGTGACCATCGCTGACGGCAAAGTTGAGCAAGCTTCTGGTATCCACGTTTTCCGCTTGGATAGTGCTCTCGGGGATTTGATCGATGAGTTCGTTGATCAGAGCGATCGTCTTCAACACGGCTGTTCGGAGAACGGTGGGGCCAAAGCCGTTCTCGGGTTGGGAGCTGGGATCGTGACCCATCCGCTCAAGCGCGTCGAGAAAGAGGGCAAACGCCCATTCGCTGTCGGTGCCGCCAGAAACGCCCAAGTACCACTTATCAGCCAGTCTCTCGGCGAGCCTCCTCTTGATGTATTTCCAGCCTCCTAGACCTCCGTTGTGCATCCACATGAGGCTGCCATGGCAGAAAGGGTGGCAATTGTCTTCGCTCAGGGATCCTTCAGTCGTGGCTCGGACATGTGCGAATATGAGACGGGACGCGGTCTTGAAGGCAATTCGATGGAGATTGGTGCAGTTCCAAACGGGGATCGTCGATGTGAATAGGCAAGGCGCTTGGCCCAGTTTCGGGTCCGTATAGAAGCCGATGCCGAAACCGTCTGCGTTATTCTGTCCCCTCCGAGTGTCCTGTGGCGGAAAGAAGTTAGAAGATATGACCCCTGGACATGGAGCTTTGGCGGTGCAACGAAGGGGCCAAGGGGCGTACCAATCTCAAGCGTGAGTCGAAAGACTGCTTAAGGATGGAATGTGTAGGGTCCAGAATGAGCTTGGAAAGAAGGATCTCATCACTTCCACGGTATACCTACGCCGACGCCCGTCAGTAAAGCATTCAGCGGCATGAGTAACTGAGAAAGGGGGGCCGGCCGGGGGGGGGGGGGGGGGGGGGGGGAAGGGTCGACGAACCAGGAACCTGCACATGCTGAGTGGCAATCAATGTCGCGTTTGGTGAAACTCGAGCTGTCCTGAGCATAGGTTGCCGGAGTTTCCAGGAAAACCAATGTAAATATGGAAGTTGAAGGAGGGAAGAGCTAGGCTTATATGGAGTGGTAGTAGGATGGAAGGATGATGTTGTCTTCCATGCAATACCCCAATCAACGCCCGAGGAATATGTAGTTTGCGCGCCGGGAAAATAAAATGAAATGCGCCTAGCAAAACACGGTATGTGCTGTGGCCAGGCTGGCTGTCGCAAGCTGGGTCGGGGATCGATTTCGGGCAAGGCGGTAGCAATGGCGCAATCGCGTCTAAGTCGGGTCTAATTCCAACGTTGAAGCGGTGGGACAAAATAGGAGTCAGGAAAGAAGGGTCGAAGAGCCACAAGCCGCAGGTTTTTTTCTTCTTCGTTCTTCGGGCGTCCCGCCTTAGGCTCTGGCCAAGCAACGGTCTCGGACGTTCAGCTCAGGGGCAAGGAACGATGTTTGTATGTGAATGGCCGAGAAGTGAGTCAGGTTGTGCTACCTCGAGATCGATTAGATGAGCTGGACGTGGCGTCTCCGAAGTGCTCCGTACCTATGGCGCCTGCAGGGGTCCTAGAGTGACATGCGGGTAAGCTATGACGCCAGCGATAGGAAGTTAAAGGAGCGATATCGGTCTACGGGGTAGGAACCAACGGAGGAGTACTTCGTACGGATACGGGGAAATACTTTGTACCTTATGTACCTGTGTGCCTATGTGTACTTGGCCCCACATCAGTTTCATGACGGTAATTGCAGTTTCGACACGACCCGCCGCCTGACTCAAACGTACCTTTCTCGTACAGGTTCACCTCACGGACATGTACAAGGCGTCGACCCACCGGAGTCCAACATCACGAGTTACGGAGTACCTGGTTTCGAGTTTGGTAGCCGAACTTTCCATCACCACTATTACCGCCACACCTCCATCACCTCAATTCTGAGCACAACTTCCTGTGCTGTATGTGCAAATTACTCTTCCATATTTACGGAGTGTCGCCCGCGTAACCTGCTATTCCGGCAGCATGAGCGGACGGCTACTCGCCATGGGCTTCTTGCCCTCGACGCGCCGCGCCGCCCTCCAGGCCGTACGTCAATATCACCGCCTTCCCGACGGCGGTCTGCTCCGAGCTGATGCTGCGATTCGAGCTATGCGTCGCCGCATGTTTTTTCCTGGAAACGCCTTTCATAATGCCGTCGCCGTTCGAAACGCCTCGTTTGCTCGACTTATTCCCAAGCTGGTGTTGAAATTCGCCCGAGTCCCCGCCATGTTCGGCGGTCTGGCCATCGGCACTTTCGCTTGGGTTCAATACCAAGCTCATCGTAGGTGGACCCTTCTTCCCGTCGTCGATTTTGGGCCTGAGCCTGACAGCCTATGACCATCAGAACTCAGCAACAGCGCGTGGGACTTCGTCTCCAAGACAGCAGACGGTCTGTCCGACACAGCAGCGAGCTTCTACGGCGGTGCACGGGACGTCGCGGACCAAACGAAGAGAGGGTGGGAAGCCACGAAAGAACAATTCGAAACCCCGGAATGGCTCCTGAAGATACTGCGAATCCATGAGGATATTGGAACAGGCGAGGGCGGATCCGACGGGCCGGGAGGAGAACCACCTCGCCAAAGCAGAGCTGGTGCAGCCTTGGCTGTTGGAGCTGCCGCAGCCTATGGGCACGATCAGTCCTCCGAAGACGACTCCCGCGAGCCCCGAGAGGTTGCCAAGGACGATCAGATGATGCTTCTGACCAAGAAGATGATTGAGATCCGGAACATGCTTCAGAAAGTCGGCCAGTCCAGCACCCTCACCCTTCCGTCTATTGTCGTAATCGGGTCCCAGTCGTCTGGGAAGAGCTCTGTGCTCGAAGCAATTGTTGGCCACGAGTTTCTGCCCAAAGGCTCTAACATGGTGACCCGGCGTCCGATCGAACTTACTCTCGTCAACACCCCCGACTCGACAGCAGAATATGGAGAGTTTCCCGACCTCGGCCTGCGGCGTATCACCGATTTTTCTTCGATCCAGAGGACCCTGACCGAGTTGAACATGGCTGTTCCGGATTCGGAGTGTGTCTCGGATGATCCTATCCACCTGACTGTTTATTCTCCCCATGTTCCCGACCTCTCCTTGATCGATTTACCTGGATATATCCAGGTAGTAGGGAAGAATCAGCCTCTGGAGCTCAAACAGAAAATATCCGAGCTCTGCGACAAGTACATACAACCACCCAATGTCATCTTGGCGATATCAGCAGCCGATGTCGATCTCGCAAACTCGACATCCCTTCGGGCGAGCCGTCGAGTAGACCCGCGGGGTGAGCGTACCATTGGCGTGATTACAAAAATGGACCTGGTCGATGCGTCAAGGGGCGCTGCCATTCTCGGGGACAAGCAGTATCCTCTCCGGCTTGGGTATGTTGGTGTCGTGTCTAGAGCGCCGCAAACCACTGGGTTGTTCAGGACGGGCCCTAGCAACCTTATGTCGGCAATATCCAAGAACGAGAACGCATTTTTCTCTGCTCACCCGTTAGAGTTCGGCGAGGGCTCCGGCGCAAACGTGGGCACCACGACTCTGAGGAAGAAGCTCATGACGGTCCTCGAGCAGACCATGTCGGCCAGTCTACAATCAACAAGCGACGCCATCAAGCAGGAGTTGGAGGAGGCGACATACGAATTCAAAGTTCAGTACAATGACCGACCATTGTCGGCCGAATCCTACCTGGCCGAGAGCCTGGACGCGTTCAAACATTCATTCAAGCAGTTCACCGAGGAGTTTGGAAGAGCGCAGATGCATGAAATCCTCAAGCGTGAGTTGGATCAGAAGGTTTTCGACCTCCTAGCGGCGAGGTATTGGAACAAGCCGATTTCCGATCTCTCGCCCGCTCGCCCAGAGCCGGATAGCCTTGCCGACTTGCCTAGAGCTGATCCGAATTCACTATATTGGCGCCGTCAGCTCGACGCATCTACTTCCGCTCTGACAAAGCTTGGTGTTGGCCGACTGGGGACTACCGTGGTTGCGTCATCCATACAAGCCCAAATCGATCGACTGATAGGAAAGTCCGTGTTCGCGTCGCACCCTTTCGCTCGTCAGGCGATAACGGAGGCTGCATCGACTATTCTGAACGAACGATTTTACAGCACAAGTGACCAGGTTGAGAACTCCATAAAGCCCTACAAGTTCGACATCGACATAGACGAAAGGGAATGGGGCAAGGGCAGGGAACATGCCGGAGTGTTGCTCAAGAAAGAATTGCAGGATTGTGAAACCGCCCTCAAAGGAATCGAGGGTGCTGTTGGCGGCCGCAGGAAGTTGAAGGAGGTTATGAACTTCGTGGATAAGGCGCGGAAAGGCGACATCGTGGTAGAGGGCGACGGACACAGCGGGGCTGGGGGCTTCAGTGCTGCCCTGCTAGCAAAAGGTATGCAACCGCCGTATAACAAACCCCGGCGGGAAGGTGTAGAGAGACACCCCACTAACGTTTATCCAGGCCGAGAGGCGGCTTTCCTCCGCGACCGCGCCGACATCATCAAGATGCGGATGATGGCCGTGAAGTCCAAGCAATGTGCCAACTTGACGAACAAATACTACTGTCCCGAGGTCTTCCTCGACGCCGTAGCGACGAAACTAGCCTCGACAGCCGTGCTCTTCCTTAACGTTGAGCTCCTCTCCGAGTTCTATTACAACTTTCCGAGAGAGCTGGACCTCCGGCTCGGCCGACACCTGAGTGACGAGGAGGTCGAGAAGTTCGCCAAGGAGGATCCCAAGATCAGGAAACACCTCGAGGTTATCCGGCGAAAAGAGCTCCTGGAGCTCGTTCTCGAGAAGATGGAGAGTCTGAGACAGCTGGAGGGCCGGGAAAGGACACAGGACCAAGCGGCCCTGAAGGAGGACAAGGATAGGGGCCGCTGGGGACTTTTCTAAGAGCACTACCAGGAGAGCTCTTACCTTAGTGGCTCCACTTTCTCTGTTCATGTGTTACGAATGGTTGGGTTCAAGGCGTTTTTAGGGGTTCCGGGCTATTCGAGGTTGTGACCCGTCGTTCGCGCACGTTGCGCTTCTCTATTCCTTCTCCAATCCTCTATGCCTCTCTTTTACTGTCACTTGCCCCTAGTCTACCAACTCTTTGGGGGGGATACCAAAGGCCACACCGGCCTCAACTATAACTATAGTAGATAGAACCATGTACTTCCAGATATTATACCCTGCTCGATTGTTATGCGGCATATCGCTATAATTTGATTCACTTCATATATCGCGCCGAAAACGGCTGTCCCCGTTGTGGCTCATGAAAAACATGTGTTTGTGGCTTATTCTCATGGTGTATCTTATATGCATCGTAAATGGCCCTTGAGCTACCCAAATATGCAGTGTACTTTAAAATGCTCCTTCAATTCGATTCGACGCTCGTCTGAATGGTGACCTCCCATCGCAAGCTGGAGCCGCGGCCGTAACCCTCGCCAAGTCGGTTCTGGATCATCGAAGTGATCTTGCTACGCAGTTTGCTAATGATCCCTTCGTCGCAGCCCCGCGCAACGCAGATCTTGAGGTTGGCCACGCAGAGACCGTAGTGCACCTGCCAGAACTGGGCCTCCTCAATACGCGAGACATTAGGTTCGGCCTCTATGTCGCGGAGGACAGGGGAGACGTCGCCATGATATGACATGAGAAGCATGGAGGCCTGGGCGGCGCCAAGCTGAGCGCCCAACGCGAACATGGCGCAGGCGATGGCGGCGCAGAGGGCGCGGTCCCAGTGGCTGGGCGATCCGGGGAGGAGGGGCAGGAGAAGAAGGAGGATGGAGAAGAAGATGGTGAGGACGTGGAAGACGTTGGTGAAGTGGTGGGAGAGGATGGAGAGCCAGGAGGAGCGCATGATGCGGGCAATCCGGGCGTGGTTCTTGACCCAGTAGGCCGACACGAGGGTGCTGAATATCCCGGCACAGGCGACCCATTCAAGTTCGCCCGAGGGGACGTACTGGTGGGAATGGTCGTGATGAGGCTCGTGGCCGCCCTTGGTGTCAAGCCAGTGCTTCAGACCGTGGGAGACAAGGTCGAAGCCGCCGAAAAGCAGAAAGATAGACATGGCGAACCCGGCGATGACCTCGGCGCGCTCGAGACCGAAGGGGTGGCGGATGCTGCTGCGGCGCCAGACCTCGAAGTTGCCGAGGACGTCGACGGCGACGCAGATGAGGGCACTGCCGGCGTCGAAGAAGACGAGGTGCGACAGGGCCATGATTCCGAGCGAGCCCCTGGAGCGGAAGAACAGGAACGCGGCCACGGCCACGTGGCAGAGCGACCAGTACAGGCTATGCCACTGCTCTGTGGTCATGCGCTCGCGGGCTTCCTTCAGGGTCGGAATGGGCAGCGATGCAGGGAGGACGGGAGGCGGGCGCGGTGGTGGCTCTTTGAAGATGTGATGTTGGGCGGAGATGGAACTGTGTTTGTACCGGTGGCCGCGACGCTGTCCGATATTCTGGGGACAATATGGGTCGAAGTCAGCATCAACAGACTTCAACGATAGGCCGGGGGAGCAAGAGAGTGCGTGGGAAGGTAGGACACGAACCGACTTGATGGGCGTGGTGGAGATGACTTGCGTCTTGAAATTGAACGGACTCGGGATGGGCGAGTCGAGCCCGCCATCGGCAGAGGGAGGCCCGTCGTCTGCCATGATGGAGAGCAGAGCCCAAGCAGGCTCGGATTAGAAGCAAAGGGGAAGGTCGGGGTCCGGGTCCGGGTCCGGGTCGCCGTCGTTGCGTCGTTGTCGCGGTCGTGAGGGTTGAGACCTGTCTCTCCCACGACGGCCTGAGAAACGAGGGAAGTTTGTTGCCTCCGGGGCTGCGATCGATGAAAGCCTGGCTCAGAATAACCAGCTAATCGTACTGGTATTAATAGTACCGGAGCCGGAATCGGTGCCGAAGCTGGAATCTGGCGTCATATCCAGACTGGTGCGAGACCGCTTGGAATTCGTGTGCCGCTGCCATGGGAGCGGCTTTCTGATTCCTCCAAATTTCTGCATTACATAATCCGCCGTCTCTATGGTTGGCTAGGCTGATGTACCTTACACGCTTGATGATGTATCTTATTCCTTCTACAAGTCTACCTTCCCACAGAATATATACCTACTCTGAAAGCTTTATAGCTACTTTAGGTGGGTGGCGTAATGTATAATTATCTAACTGAAGCTGATTATATCTTGGCGCGTGATGATCGCCCGTAAATCAACTAATCAGTCACTGCCACTTGCGTTCCTCTTTCCTGATATTTATCGTTTTCATCCAAAAGCAGAGCGGTTGGCACTTTAGATTTTAACCGAAGTTTGAGGTTCACGAATGGCAAGCCCGAAACCTTGCTTGGGTCGCTGCTTTCGAGAGGTATTTATGTACACGGTACGTGTGGGGATCCCTGCAGAACGAACAATCTTAAAATGCATGACAGGTCCCAATTGCGTTTCTCTAAATCCCTGATTTCTCGGTAGCCTTAGATATTGTGGAGTGTTAGCGGTCCAGCTTTTACTTATGATCATGCCCCGCCCCTCACTCTGGCGGATTAATCCACTTCTGACCAGCATCACAAGGCTTGCGAGAACAACCTATCATTATCATGGCGATAATGTCTAGACCTGAATCTTCACGTATTGTTGCACTGGTCAATTCGATCTGAACTCAGTCTACAATCCCGGCGAGGACGAGGTCTTCACTTGTGCAGTCATTTATATCTCCACCTATGTTGGTGTCGTTTTTGCTTAGGTGATAAGTTGGGAGCGGCGAGGCTGAGAACCACGGCGAACCGTTTCCTGAAGAAACGAGAGCCTCAATTCTTCATTCCTGACATTGGGACATATGTTTACAAGGACATTCTAAATAAAGTAAGCACTATGTGAACCTCATTCAGGGGGTCGGTCAATGTCGCCCAGGACTTCGGCGAGAAGACGAAGACCGAGAGCGTCGAAGTGGTTCCCTTTCGAAAATGAACAGAAACTCGTGCCCATCCGGTAGCTGACCCAGCGGCCACTGCTCCTCCTCTTGAAGTACAGAAAGAGCTTCTAGTGGCTCTGCGTGGTCCACGAAAAATTGCGAATTCGCACCTACGACCATTCCACTGTTATCTTCGGGGTGGAAAAGTCGACCAACTATTTCTGCATCTCTGATGTAGCCGATAGGGGACTGTGATATGACACCGGCCGCATGGTTGCGAGCGAAGTCGAGTGAAGTATTTGCGAGTGACAGATCCGTTGAGTCATAAATTTTAGCAGATAAACTTGTCACACGAATCGCTTTCATCAAAACGTCGACGTACCTCCGAATGCCTTCACGAGGGCCTTGCATGCAGCGGGGTGAGAGCTCATGATCCCGAAAACTTCATCCTTCTCGTCGAACAGACTGAGGAGTAGGGTAGTTGCGAGGCGGCGTTCTCTGTATTTTCGGTGGACGACGAGCTGGGTGATCCATAACACTTGACGGCCTAGGTGTGTCCAACGACAGGCGAAAGCGTGACCAGCCAGTTCACCACCGATAGTGACCTGAGCGTATGCAGTATTGGAATGGACAGGAAGGCATTGGGCTCGAAGGCGTGCGGCACTTATTTTAACACGATTTCCTGTGAATATTTAGCGATAGACCTTTGCATCAGTGACCGGACGGAACTTGCCTGTTCTTCTTGCCTGTTGGCCAGTTGGAAATGCGCCCCAAACACCATAGTTGTTACTAAACAGAGTGGTTGCCTGTTCGAGCATATCCTCTGTGACCTCCTCGCCAGACATCGATGTGACTTGCTTGAACATCATCACCAATTAGCCGAGATAGGTTTCTCTTCTTTCAAGACATGGACAGAGTCTTGGTCGGAGAATCTGAGGGCTCGGGCTTCTTTGAGGATTTATACTGATGAGCTGGGTTGGTACGGTTGCGGGGTTAGCATCCGTGCTCTGACCTGAGAGGCAGGTCAGGTGGGTGGAGAGCTTATTATAAGCTTCCAAGGTAAAACTGTGTCGGCTCGGCACCGCCGAGACCGCCCGTTTGTGTCGTATTGGTAGAGACTATGCCTGACATATCTCAGCAGGCTTAAACCTTTCCTAAGGCATGTGGAGGAAGGTGGAGGTGGCGGCCTCGGCTTTTGTGGTATTCTCTTTGATGTATTATACGCTATGCATGGAAATGCGTAGCATTGACTTAGGCCCGTTCACACTTTCACCTAGTTAGTGAAAATGTCGTATGGGCATATGACCACAAGTGGTTATCCTACTGTCGTGGCTATCCTACTGTCGTGGCTATCCTACTGTCGTGGCTATCCTACTGTCGTGGCTATCCTACTGTCAAGCACCAACTTACCGTATTGACCCTGCAAGTTCGACAAAGGCCCAAAACTTGGCGCCCCACCGATTACGACCTTATTTCGAATTAACCAATGAAACGAAGGAATTTTATAAGGTAGTCGATTATTAAGGCTACCATGGGAGATATGTAGAGGGTTACCGGGATACATAATCTCCGATCGATTTAGACTGCGTGGGGAAGTGGGTATTTTTAACGTAAGCAGAAAAGAGCCTTTATCGACCTTGCAGGGTCAATACGGTATAAGGGTTGGTGAGGAACGAACACCAGATAAGTGGGGCGGGCACGGGTACGTACTCGATCAACATCAAGAAGCTCAGAACTCCGCCTTCCAGACAGGTGGACTGCAGTTTCGTTATATTCGCGTCTGCCAGACTCAATTCTTTCGCCATATCTGAACCCAAGTACTACTGATTTATCCTTTGCCGAATGACCACACCACTATTGTCTTCACGGCATGACGGGGATGGAGGCACACGCAGCTACGGATGCGCCAAACTTGAACGACAAGTCTCCTGAGGCCCAGCAAGGCGAAGAAGAGACGAGCGCAATAACAGGAGGCCAAAAGAATGCCGTATCAAGCACGAGTATTCTCTCGAAGTTTCCCTTCGTCAGATCCACTTCCACCACAAGTGCCAGAACACGTCAAGACAAAGATAGGAATGGGGGCCAAGTCCACGAACGCGACCCCCTACAGTCCATACCCGGCTCTATGGCAACTGTCGTCCAGCAGCAGCAGCCGAAGACGCGCCGTCGAAGAGGCTCCCTCAGGAAGGTGGCCTTGCTAGGGCGAGGATTACAGCGGCGAGACGCGAAGCAATTGACCATCGACACGTCGTATGCTGCGGCGGGTGACTTGAGAACCTTTAAGCAGCTCCAACGCCCACAACTGCTCCCAGAGGCTCCCGCCATTACGACACAGCAACAGCGAGACGAACCCAGACTCTCCGCACCCGTATCCGATAGCACCTCAAAACCGCACACGAAGCAACCCGCTGGCAGTTCGACCTTTCCAAGCGCGACCATTTCGTCGGCGACTCCGTCGAATGGCACCGACCACGCCGTCGAATCGAGCTTCTTCGCTCAGAACACGTACAGCTCGACTACAGATGAGGAGGACATTCTACACCTACCTGGCCATGATACACCGGCGGCACACCCCGAGCTTTTGCTGTCCTCTGGTTCCGAATCCTATTTTGGAGAGCGGGCGGCCACTCAGTCTCTCCGGCGGCGGTCTATGATGCGAGCCAAATCGCCGCTCTCGTACAGCGGTCTATCCAATACGCCTATACCGCCCACGGAGGCGGAATACGATTACTCGGAGACGGAGTTTTGGGGATGGGTGGTCCTTATTGTGACCTGGATTGTTTTCGTCGTCGGCATGGGATCTTGTTTGGGTATCTGGAGCTGGGCCTGGGACGTGGGTATCACCCCGTACGCGCCGCCCGAGCTGGAAGACGACCCGACTCTCCCTATCGTGGGCTACTATCCAGCCCTGATCATTCTGACCTGCATCATGGCTTGGGTCTGGGTCATTATTGCTTGGGTCGGGATGAAGTATTTTCGGCACGCCAAGATTAGCGGCGATTGAGGAGTCTCTTGAAAAGGTTGGCGATGACCCAAGGAGCGAACATTATCATCATCAGCAGCAGCAGCAGCATCAGAACCATTCCATAAGGCGCCACCTCCTTGTCGACATTAAATTACGTCGTGGCTGTTCTTCTCACATGAGGTGATCTGAGTCACGAGGGAAGCAAAGACAGATGACCACATTCCGTCTCACGCTCGTGTATACCAGTCCTGTTGGTGTTGGGGAGGGATCGGTTCGTTTGGACCGTCTCTGGGCGTTTCTGGGCTTCCGACCCATGTCGCCAGATCAGGACAGGCATTCAACGGTAAGGGTGAGCCATCACAAAAACTGTCATGAAGGGTCGCTGATGTACTACGAACAGGAAGGTTCTTCCGAATAAACGCAGTTGGGTGCGGGCCTGCCGAGTGCGACACGATGATGCACTTAAGATCCCGGCCGATACTGGAAAGGACACGGAGGTCATAATCAGGCTGAATGCGACTTTCTCCTTGAGGAGTCTTAAGCTACGACCATGAGCAAACTTGAATGCATGCAGAGTCTTCTACTCCGTCCTCGTCAGAATACAGGGGTATCTTCTCATGGTCAATAGAATGCAGCTGAAATACGTACAAGCTAGAGAAACAACTATACGTACGCTCCCTACAGACCTAGCTCGCACGGGGATATGCAGTCCATACTCCT